GTTGCTGGGTCATAGGGTAGTTCTATTTTTAGTTTTTTGAGGAACCTCCATACTGTTTTCCAGAGTGGCTGCACCAGCTTGCATTCCCAAAACATATTTTTAAAGTATGTAACATACTAAGCTTTGTTCAGGAAGGTGAGTTCTATATTCTGTGCTCTGTGGTGAGAGTCACTGTAGTGTATTGTCAAGAGCAGAGTCTAGAGTCTGATTTCTTGGGTTCAAATCCAGGCTCACTACTTGTTACCCATGTCATGGGCAGATCACTTAATCTCTGTGCTTCTGTTTTTCTGTTTATAAAATGGGAATAATAGTACTTCATAGGGTTGTTGTGAGAAGTAATTTATTACTAAAAGGTGCTTTGAGCTGTGCCTGGCCTGTAAAGGCACTGTATTTGATCAGCTATTAGCGTTATTGTTGCTGCAGTCCTTTCCCTAGTGTTACAGGTTTTTTTTGAATTTGCGAATGGTTGGAATTTATTCTGCCGGCTTTTATTTGGAGAGGGTAGTTAGGGGAGAAGGCTGACTTGGAAGTGGATGAAATTAGTGCCTTGAAAATGGACTTAGAGGTCAGTCATACTGGATGATAAACTCTTCCCTCAAACCCTTATTCTCTTTCTCTTCAGAAAAGGAAGGGCATAGGAAAAATTGGAGCATGAATGGAGAAGGAATTCGGTTGCCTAGGCCAGGTGCTTTCACTTGAGTCATTTGGGCTCCTTCACTCAGTGCTGGGCCTACAGATCACCCCGATGCTGTCACAGATGGAATGGGACTACTGAATCCTGTTGGCCCAGTAAGGACAGGGAGTGTAGTGGAAGTAGGGGAGGGTGCCATAGATGTTGGTTCTATGCTCTGGCAGCCCAGCTGGAGCCTACTTAATAGCATATATTGTAAGGCCTGGGAACTTTATGTAGACCAGCATTGTCCAGTGGAAATGAGACACATATGCCATTTAAAAAAATGTGTAACCGCACTTAAAAATAAAAGCAGTATGTAACCACACTAAAAAAAAAAAAAAAAAAAGTAATAAGCTATACTATGTGTATATACAAATTATTTGAACGTGTAATCAATTCAAAAAAATTTTTTGTGAAGATTATTTGAGAGAGAGCACATGTACGCATGAGTGGGAGAGGGGCAGAGAGAAGGTGAGAGAGAGAATCCCAAGGTGCTGATAGGTGCTATCAGCACAGAGGGTCTCGAACTCATGAACTGTTAGATCGTGACCTGAGCCAAAACCAAGAGTTGGTTGCTTAAGTGACTAAGCCACTCAGGCGTCCCAACATGTAATAAATTTAAAAAATCAGTAAGGTATCTTAATTCTTTTTTTGGAACTAAGTTCAAAATCTGGTGCATATCTCACACAGCACATCTGAATTTGTACTGGCCACATTTCATGTACTCAATTGTCAAATGTGGCTAGTGCTTCTGTATTGCACTATGCAGGTCTGGGCCTTTTCTGAGCAGCTTGAACCATTATGAAGTCCTCTTTTTTAAAAAATTTATTTATTTTTGAGAGAGAGAGCGAGCACAAGTGGGGGAGGGACAGAGAGAGAGGGAGACACAGAATCCAAAGCAGGCTCGGGGCTCCAGGCTCTGAGCAGTTAACACAGGGCCCGATGCAGGGCTTGAACCCATGAACTGCAAGATCCTGAACTGAGCTGAAGTCGGACACTCAACTGACTGAGCCACCCAGGCGCCCCTATGAAGTCATCTTTTTATGTTAAAAAAAACCATGGTAAAATAGGTATAAAATTTATCATTGTAACTATTTTTAAAATGTATTGTGTGGTGGCATTAAGTAAATCCACAGTGTTGTACAACCATCACCACTATCCATCTCCAGAACTTTTCCATCTTCCCCAACTGAAATTTTGTAACTATTAAATATTAACTACCCATGTCCGCTTGCCTCCAGCCTGTGGCAGCCACCATTCTACTTCCTACTTTGAATTTAATGTGGATTTGACTTCTCTAGGAACCTCATAAATGAAATTATACAGTATTTGTCCTTTTGTGACGGGCTTATTTCACTTAGCATAATGTCTTCAAGATGTTTGTAGCATGTGTCAAAATTTCCTCTTTTTAAGACTGAATAATATTGCGTTGTATATATATCTTTACCACATTTTGTTTATTCCTCCATTCATTATGAAGTCTCATCAGCTTTAAGTAGATAGAAGATACGGTTCTTAGGAATATGGCCTGTTTAAAGAAAACTCTTATATGTGAGAAGCAAGTTTAAAACAAAGGCACTATCATCCACACTGTCTTTCTTATCTCTGGTTGTATATGATGTAGAGGGAAGTGTTGAACCTACTCTAGAAAAAACAGCATATTTTTATTTTCAAGATGCTATGTTACAGTAGCAGGCCGAGTATGTATGTAGAAACTTCTAGAAAAGAGGTACTGTGAATCATTGGCTATTTTGAAGGAAAATTTAAATCTCTTCTGGCCCTCCTGGGTAAAGATATCACAGCATCAGCAAGAAGTCAGGAGAAACGATGTGTTGGATTCTCAGAATTTTTGGAACATGGAAGTGATTGGGGCTCAGAATCTGGAACTTGCTCATATTCACCAGCCAGTTAATAGATGACTAGGATTTGAACCCAGGCTTCTTGACTTGTAGTCTAGTGTTTTGGGGGAAGTCCGGTAGAGCCCATCCCAAGGATTCTTTTAAGGCATTCAGTTCCCTGTCTTCCCCTACCCCCTTTATCCCTGAGGTCTTTTTTCCCTAATGATACATCTTTTAATATGTATGGAAAGCCAAGGTTCTTAACATTATGTTAGAGTCAGACCATGTGATGGCAGATAAATTTTAATGGTAACATTTATACTAGTGTCTCAGACACAATTCATTTAAGAATTTGTCCAGTGTATTGAGTTGTTGTGTTATTGCATGTTACTGTAAAAGAAAGCTAATTAGTTGAAGTTTAAATCAATGAGTGAAGTAACTGCATTTATCTTTTGATCAGATTGGAAGCAAAGGAAACTGAAGAAAAGTAATGTAGTTTCCTTAAAGGCATACAAAGGACTGGCAGAAGTGGCTGTGAAGAGCCTGTGCGAGCTGTTGGTGGCGCTGTCTCATTTCAACTTTCACAACAACATCATTGTACTGATTGTCCCTCTCATGAATGACGTGTCAAAATCGGTGGGTTGCTTTAAGTGATTGTTGTTGTCGGCTTTGTGATTATTATTTTTTCTCTTTCAGAATTCTTTTGGAGTTACGATTTATTGCTAACATAGGGTCACTTTGTTAAACACTGTGTCTAAGAAAATTCTTTGAACAGAAATATAGTGTGGTGGTTCTGAGCAGGAGGCTGGTCTGCCCTCTGGGGATCATTAGGCCGCGTCTACTCACAGTTTGTCACAACTGCCTGCCGTGGCTACTCCTGGCATCTAGCGGGTCAGGGCTGGGGCACTTCTAAACACCCCACAATGCACAGGACAGCCCCCCACAGTGAAGAATCGTCCGGCCTAAAGTGTCAGTGGTGCCAAAGTTGAGAAACGCTGGCTGAGTGTAACATTTTATTTTTCAGATATCTGAAATGTGTTGTGAGGCAGTAAAGAAACTGTTTAAACAAGATAAATTAGGCCAAGCTTCCCTTGGTGTAATTAAAGTGATTTCTGGTTTTGTGAAGGGCAGAAATTATGAAGTTAGACCAGAGGTAAGCCTTTCTTTTCTTTGCATTTTGTTTTTAAATTACAACAGTTAATGAAGAATTTTATTCTTTGTAGAAGTGTATAAAGTAGAAAACTCACCAGTTACCAGGTGTAACTACTCTTAACAATTTGGTATGTATTCTTCTAGATGTTTTTCTGTATAGATATAAACATATCTACTTGTTTATATGTATTTTTGCCATCCATGGAAGAATGTTCTCGATCCCAAGATTATAGATTCTGTCCGTCTAGAAGAGTGTTAATTTTTATATTTAAACATTTAATCCATCTGACATCTTTATGTGTGTGGATGGTATGATTGCAGATCTGATACATATATACTTCTTGAAATGGATAGCCAGTTATTCCAATACCGCTTCCCTTTTGCTACTGATATAAATGCTGCGTTTATTTTACATTAAATCTCTACACAAAATTTTATTTCTCAACTTTCTGTTCTGTTGATTCAGTAAATCCCCTACATGTAACATACTGCTTTTAGTAACTGGAGCTTTATATTTATCGTATATAGTATACAGTTCATCTGTAGGATGGTACTGATCAAAATGGGCATTACTGATAAAAGGCACGGACCTTTTTTTCCTCCAGAATGTTTTAAATTACTTTTATGTATTATTTTAAATGGAATTTAGAATGAAGGTTTTTTTTGTTGTTGTTGTTGTTTGTTTTTTTTTTTTTTTTGCTTCCTTTTCCTGAAATAGTCTACACAGAATCTGATTGGAACTGATTCAAAGTGTAGATTAGTTTGGGAGAATTAAAATAGTTAAAGAAGCAGTTTTTTTTCTATTTACGAATATGTATCTTGCCATTTATTTAAGGCTTCTTTTATGTCCTTAACTGAAATTTTATAGTTGTCTTCATTTGGGTCTTAGATATTTTTATTAACTTCATTTTTAGTCCTATAGTTTTGATTGTTAAACTGATGTTTTCTAGAACTGTTTTATTCCCTAATTTTAAGTCTTTCTTTGCTGTCTAATCCCTTTCATTTCTCAGAGCTGATAATTTTAGTTGGACAGCTAAAATAAATACTGGGCTTAAATAAATACTCAGAACTGTAGAGTGATCAGATACTAAGACTTGAACATGAAACTTGCCCATAGGGAAACACTTCCATTTTAGTGATGCTGTAATATAAACCACATCCTTTAATTTGTTGGGTGTTTGTTTTTGTTTTTTGTATTTTTTTGTATATATTTAGGTTGTATGATGTGATTTTTTTTTTTTTTTTAAGATTACACGACATGATGATTTAGTATACTATATGTTGTGAAATGATTACCACAGTCGAGTTAATTAACACATCTGTAGTCTCTTAATCTTTTTTTGTGAGGAGAATACTAAAGACTTACTCTTAGTAAATTTCAAATTATACAATATTATTAACTATAATTACTGTGCTGTAAATTAGATCCTCAGAGCTTACTCATAACTGAAAGTTTGTATCCTTTGACATTTCCTCACTTCCCCCATTTCCTGGCAACAGCTGTTTTTAGTACGCATTTGACTTTTTTTAGATTCCACATATAAGTAAGAGCATACAGTATTTGTTTTACCATGTCTGGCTTAATTCCCTTAGTGTGATGTCCTCTGGGTTCATCCCTGTGGTGACAACTGTCAGGATCCTTTTTAGTGGATGAGTAACATTTTATTGTATGTATATGGCACAGTTTCTATATTCATTGATCTGTTAGTGGACATATAGGCTGTTTCCATATCTTCGCTGCATGTTGTGAGTAATGCTGCAGTGAACATGGGGGTGCAGATATCTCTTTGAGATACTGATTTCATTTCCTTTGGATATGTCCCCAGAAGTGGGATTGCTGGATCATAGGATAATTCTGTTTTCATTTTTTGAGGAGTTTCCATGCTGTTTTCCATGGCTGTACCAATTTGCATTCCTGTCAGTAGTATACCAGGGTTTCCTTTTCTTCATGTCCTAATACTTGTTGTCTCTTATCTTTTTTTTTTTTTAAGTTTATTTAAGTAATCTCTACACCTAATGTGGGGCTCAAACTCGACCCCGAGATCCAGAGGTGCATGTTCCTCTGAATGAGCCAGCCAGGTGCCCCTATTAGCTTTTTGATAATAGCCATTGTAACTGGTGTGAGGTGATATTTCATTGTGGTTTTGGATTGCGATGATTAGTGCTGTTGACCACCTTTTCATATGTCTGCTGGGCATTTGTTGTATGTCTTCTTTGGAAACTGGTCTTTTGCCTATTGTTTAACTCGGGTATTTGTTTTTTGCTGTTGAGTTGTAGGAGTTTCTTGTATATTTTGGATATTAACTCCTTGTTAGATATGTGGCTTACAGATATTTTCCCCCATTCAGTAGGTTGCCTTTTCATTTTGTTGATGGTTTCTTTTGCCTGCAGGAAATGTTTCGTTTAATGTAGTCCCACTTGTTTATTTTTGCTTTTCTTGCCTGTGCTTTTTGGTCTCTTACCCAAAAAACTCATTGCTGGGACCAATGCCAAGGAGCTTTTCCCTTATGTTTTTTTCTGGGAGTCTTATGGTTTCAGGCCTTATTTTTAAGTCTTTACTCCATTTCAAGTTAATTTTTGTGAGTGGTGTAAGACAGGGCTCCAGTTTCATTCTTTTGCATGTGGATGTCCAGTTTTCTCAACACTGTTTGTTGAATAGACTGTCCTTTCTTCGTTGTGTATTCTTGGTGCCCATCTGTTAAAGTTGATCATCTTTAGGGGTGCCTGGGTGGCTCAGTTGGTTAAGCGTCCAACTTTGGCTCAGGTCATGATCTCACGGTTTGTGAGTTTGAGCCCTGCGTCGGGCTCTGTGCTGACAGCTCAGAGCCTGGAGCCTGCTTCATATTCTGTGTCTCCCTCTCTCTCTGCCCCTCCCCCACTCGCACTCTGTCTATCTCAAAAATAAAAACATTAAAAAAAGGTTTTTAACAGAAGTTGACCATCTTTAATGTGGAGTTACTTTATTTTTTATTTGTGAGCAGGTAGAATACCTACAGAATACTCCAACTGATCTTTCTGGTACCTGGGATGACTTCATGTTCACTGTTTATGCTTTTCTTTCTTGTTTCCATTCTATGCTGTAAACTGAAATACTTTGCTTTCTTACAAATGTACATATTGGAACATTGGAATAAAACCTATAGTTCTCAAGTGTTTTTTCCAGGAATGCTGCTGTGACTGCAGGAAGTCAGGAGAGTGTTTTCTTCCAGAGAAAATTAGGATTTTGAACCCCTTTTGTCTTTGTGTTTGGATGGTCGCTGTAGCACACAAAACACCAATTACCAAATTTCTGGATTTTTTGAATGGCTTAAGGTAGTAGTTTGCGGTCCCTAGATGAGCATCAGCTGGGAATTAGAAATACAAATTCTAGGGCCCCACTCCAGACTTAGTGAATCAGAAACTCGGAATGGAGCCCAGCTGTTTGTGTTTTAAGTCTTCCAGATGATTCTTATGTTTGCTGAATTTGGAGACCCATTGGCTTAAAGGAAAATAACTAGTCTTAAAATTAATAACATTGGTCTACATGTTTTTTGTTTTGTTTTTAATGGGGGGCAGGAAGCTGAAGATTAGAATTGTTCACTACAAAATGGAGGCTGGTTTGGCAAATTAAAGTTGGTTTAGAAATATGTAATTTATATCCTTTCCTCCCATACTGGCCCATACCTTTTTCTGGCCTATCTACTGGTTGTACTCCTATCGACCGATCCTAGGTGATGTGTTCTCTCTTCCTTATACTTCTTACACTGAATACTAATAATGTTATGTGTATTTAGCCAAATACTGTGTCCTTTTAAAGACACAAATTGCCAAATATGTTTAGCAATAACATGATAGTATTTTGTATGAAATGTGATAGAAGATGTATCAGAGTTTTTTTGTTTGTTTGTTTGCACAAAGGAAGGAATTAACATTGTTAAATGCTTTTCTGTATAAAGGTTTTGAGGGCGATATGAATATTAAGCTGTATATTGTGTTTTCTTCATATTAGATGTTAAAAACATTCTTGTGCTTAAGAATCAAGGAAGTAGAAGTGAAAAAAGATACAGAGGACATTAATAAACCAAAAAAGTTCATGACTTTCAAGGAAAAGAGAAAAACTCTTTCAAGAATGCAGAGAAAGGTTTGCTTGATTTCCGTTTTTGTTTGATTTGAGATTAAAATCATAATGTAGGCACAGGAAGAGATCATAGTTAAATATAGATGTGTTAAAACCTAATGTTTAGAGAATTTTATTTTTTCTACTTCTTGTTAAGAAATGTCTTATTGAATTAACTAAGCTAACAGTTCACTGGCAAAAAGAGCAGTAGCTGAAAAAATTTCCTTGCCGTGCTGGCTTTTATTTTTTTGCTCTTTAGATGGTCTTAGATTCATTGTGATACACAGATCCCTTCCTTGGCAGAAAGGTGACATTCATGTAAAGTTGGCAACAGAGTGGATTTTTGTTAATTGAACCATGTTTCTTTATTGGCTTGTATTTGAAACCTAGGTTGAAATTCCAGCCCCTTGTTTATTTAGTGTGAGACCTTGGTAACTTCTTTTTTTATTATTATTATTTTGACAAATGGAGCTAGTAATAGCACCTACCTCGTGGGTCACTCTGCACTTTAATAAGATAATGTATGTAAAGCACTTAGCAAGTGTGTGACGCTGGGCATACTTTATAAACTTTAATTACCACCACCACCATTGTTATCATTATTGTTTCTCAGAACGTTTCTAAATAGTTTATTAGGGTTATCAAATTGCTTATAAAAACAAAACAAAACATTTCCAGGGATATCTGTCTTTGAATATGTCTAATAAATTGTGAAAATAGGACAGAAGTACAAAAATAGACTTAATAATTGTAAACAAATGAAGGTAAATATTTTAATTGTTTGTACCATACTATTCTAATATAACTCGGAATCCGTGTTAGGAATAGCATGTATGTAGCTGTGGTGGGGAAACAAAAGATCCACTAAGAACATGGCCGTTAACTCTGCATGCAGGAAGGAAACTCTTCTCATTCGGTCCCCCTGCGTCTCACACAGCTTAGCAACCATTGTTTGCTGCTCTTACAGCATAAGGAAGTGGAAGAAACTGATACTTTGTTGAATTTCTATATAGTATCTGGTTTTATGCATTGTATGTCAGTGTGTCTAGGGGTCTTGCTAATGACTTGTTTCCATGTTACACATGATTTAACAGTAAGAATTATTTTTATCCCTTTTTTTCCTCTTTTGAAAAAATGTAAATCGTGGAAAACTACAGAGAGTAGCATATCCCATGTGTCTACCATTCACAATGAGCAAATGTAGTAGACTTACTTCACTTTTGTTCTTGAAAAGAAACCATTAGTGATAGAGTTAGCATCCCCTTTGCTCCTCTCCCCAGTCTTGTTCTGCCTTCCTCTCAGGAGGCAGCTACTGTCCTGAGTTTGGTTTGTGTATGCTTCTTCTCCAGGTCTATGTAATTGTGCTTATATCTATGTTCTAGGGTATGTCTTTCAGAATATTTACATATATATGCCTCTCTGAAGCTTGCTTTTTCACTCAGCGCTATATACTCTTACTTATTCTTTCCCTGTTTCTTTCCAGTGGAAGAAAGCAGAAGAGAAATTGGAGAGAGAGCTTCTAGAAGCAGAAGCTTCAGAGAGCACTGAGAAAAAACTTAAACTGGTAGGCAGTTTCACATTCTCTCATGCTTGTAAAATGTTTTGTTAAAGGGTTTTAACTGGAGATTATTGTTTCAATTTGTGGTAGTATAATCTTGGTTTATTTGATGAGGCTTCCGTATGCAAGAAACTGGCATGATCATTGCTGGTCTTAGGAGATCTCAGGGTGTGTACCTTCATTCTGTTTTGAAGCTCCTAAGATTGGATTGTGGAGAGGGTTAGGAAGGGACAAAAAAGGTTTAACTTTGAAAGTCATCTTTCTGGTAACTCAGGAGAAAATATACAACGTTATACTAAAGTCATTTTGTTTCTTCTGCCAGCACACAGAGACTTTGAATATTGTGTTTGTAACCTACTTCAGAATATTGAAGAAGGCCCAGAGGTCACCTCTCCTGCCAGCAGTTCTAGAAGGTCTTGCCAAGTAAGGGCTGTGTAGGTTGAAACCTTTTAGATTCTTCCTAAACCAAAAAAAGCATGAACCTTAAACAAGGTTCACTAATGATGACCCCATGACCTTCTCTGTTCTCTCATTCTTTGTCACCAGCCTTTCCTTGAAACTGTTCTAACATTTTTTAGTTTTCTCATCTCAAACCTTTTATTTTTTGAATCTCCTTCAGCAATTCCTTCCTTCTGCTTATTAAGTTCTGGGGGTCCCAAAAGTTTATCTCACAGTTCTTTTGTTCCTTTCACACTGTGGTCAGTTATCCACTGTCAGAGAGTTTTGAGTGGTCCGTGCAGGCAACTTTTAAGTCTGTTCTAACCCTGCTTGCACCTCATTTCTCGAGTCCTGTCTACTCTTCCTGCAGAGAGAGAGCTTTTGGTATATTCTAGTGAACCTGTTGGGGGATATGAGCTAGAATAATGGTCGTTGTGATGGATTTCCGGTTATTTGAGGTAGTATCCTGTAGAACAGTGCAATAGAAATATAATGTGAACTAGGTATGTAATTTAAAGTGTTCAGTTAGCCACATTAAAAAAGTAAAAAGGAATTGGTGAAATTAATTTTGATATATTGTATTGAATCAGTTTATCTAAAATATTTTGACATATATTCAGTATTATTAAGGAGTTATTTACTATTCTTTTTTCTTCCATAAAATCTTCAAAAACTGATGTGTATTTTACACTTACAGCATATCTCAATTTGGACTAGCCCCATTTTAAGTGCCTAATAGCTACATGTGGCTAGTGGCTGTCATTGGACAGTACAGCTTCAGAAATAGGACTGATGGTTGGAAAATAGAGAAGAAGCAAGTTCTGTTTAGTATAAGACATTACTTTCTTTCTTTCTTTCTTTCTTTCTTTCTTTTTTTTTTTTACTGTTTGTTTATTTTTGAGAGAGAGACAGACACACAGAGCCTGGGAGAGGCAGAAAGAACCAGGAGCATATAGTAATATGTAAACCGTTCCATCAGGTTCCAGCATTGTCAGCATCAGCATCGAGTGGGGCTTGAACCCACAAACTGCAGGATGCGACTGAACCAGAGCCTTAGGCACTCATCCCATGACATTACTTGACATATGACTGAGCTATTTGACAGTGGGATTATAAAATTGGGCCTTGTTATTAAAGGATTCAAAGAGAGGGCCTGCTGTTTGTTTTTCAGTGACCAATTGCTTTATTTTAAAAAGTTTTTAGTTATACTTACGTTAAAAACTTCAAGTCGATGCAGGGGCACCTGCGGTGCCTGGCAGCAGTAAGCATCTGACTAGTTAGGTCATGATCTCATGGTTTGTGAGTTCATGTCCTCGCATCGGCGGGTCAAGTCTACAGCTGCCTGAGCCTGCTGGAGCCTTCGAATCTGTCGTCTTCCCTTCAGCTCTCCTTGCCTTCCCAGGTCACGCTCTGGGTCTCTCCTCAAAAAAAATAACAACACTCTAAAATTTACTTTTTCACTAAATGATGCAGAAGAATATAAAATTAAAAATACAGGGTCACCTGGGTGGCTCATTCGGTTGAAGGTCTGACTTTGGCATATCTCATGGTATTGAGTTTATCTCCTGCTAGGCTTTTTATGCTGGCAGGGATGCGCTGGGATTCTTGGCTTTCCCTCTGCTCAGCCCTCCTTCTCATCCTTCTCTCAAGTGTGCTAATGAACTTAAAAAAAGTCTATATCCCTACAGGATTTTCCAGTATATTTTCCGTATATTATATATATATATATCCCTGTGTGTGTGTGTGTGTGTGTGTGTGTGTGTGTGTGTGTTGGTCTGTTTTCTGTCACACAGATGGAATGATACTATATGTAATGTTTCATAACTTTTCTTTTTTGATAAAATGGTTATTCTGGGTATCTGTCCATGTTGGCATGACTATATCCAACTTTTTTTTTTCTTTACGTTTATAATACTTCATCTTATGAATCAATAATACGTTTATTTGACCAGTCCCCTATGCTGCATTGGAAATACCTTCATGCCCTCATGTGCATATATTGCCAGGTCAAAGGGTCTGCTCATTTTAAATTTTGATAAATATTGCCCAGTTGCTTCCCAAAAAAGATTGTACTAGCACAGAGGGAATGTATCACTTCTAAGATTTATATAACGTCAAAGGCTCTTGCACTAATACTGAAGAGATATGTTGACTTTTAAGTACTTTAGTGCCTAGTATTTTATAGTGTACAGAGTGCTCTCACATTTAGTAGATCAGATGATTCTTCCTCTATTATTCTATTGAGTAATTTCAGTTATTTCTAGAAATAGAGTTCCAGGACTGTAAGTGACTTACCTAGGATTGAATAAGTAATTAATTGCAGAGCCTGAACTAGATACTAGACCCGGTATTCTCTCATTTTGTTTTTTGAAGTTTTCGTAGGATCCACATTCCTATAAATAACAGATTTCTTTCCCTTTTCCCGCTCCCCATTTTCCTAGAACCTGATGCTCCTGGCCCTTTTATGAGTTAGAACAGCATGGAGTACTTTCCTTGGGTAGTTGTTTGTTCTTGTTTCATAGGGCAGAAGTATTTCTGAAATATTTTCAGTTTGTTTAGTGCCTCATCTATTTTATGCTGGGTGTTGTCAAAAAGACCAATTTGAGTTAATGAAAAACATCAATAATCACCACCGTCTCCATTGTGACTAACGTTGAAATAAGGAATATTAAAAATATGGTTTTAAAGTCAAATTTAATTTCTGGCTGTTTTATTTCTCTTTTTAGATCACCCATTAACTAAACTCTGTTTGATTCTAGGTTTGCTCACCTTATAAATGTCGAGTTTTTTGATGATTTATTAGTAGTACTGCATACTCTCATTGAATCTGGTGTAAGTAACTCTGTTAATGAATTACTTTTTAAGATATAAATGGTAATTATTATTCTTAATGTGCCCTTTCTGCCTTTTTTCCAAGGACCTGAGCTATCAAGAAAGCCTTCACTGTGTCCAGACTGCTTTTCATATTCTTTCTGGTCAAGGTAAGATAATTTTCTTTACTTTGGGAGGCTGTAACATACCTAGTTGTTGTTTGTTATAATTTCAAAGGTGACATTCTGAATATTAATCCTTTGGAGGCTATAAAATACCTAATTGTTGCTTGTTGTAATTTCAAAGGTGACGTTCTGAATATTGATCCAATGAAATTCTATACACATCTATATAAAACACTGTTCAAGTTACATGCAGGTATGTACATTTATATATTGTGTGGTTTTTTTCTTAATCTTTTTTAAGTTTATTTATTTATTTTGAAAGAGAGAGCAGAGGAGGGGCAGAGAGAGAATCCCAAGCAGGCTCTGCGTGGTCAGCACAGAGCCTGACGTGGGGCTGGAACTCATGAACTGTGATATCATGACCTGAGCCGAAATCAAGAGCCAGACACTTAACTGACTGAGCCACCCAGATGTCCCTATATATTGTGTTTTTAATAAATACTTACCTTTTAAGAATATATTGTGACTGGTATTATAGTCCATGAGAAATGAAAAATCAAAATTGGCATATAAAATGGTGGCCTGCTGGTGTCACACATCTGTGTTTAACCTTATGTAGAAGTTGGAGAGAGCGTCTGGAATTGACTGGAGATGTGGTACAACCACCGCATTTCCTGAGCAGTCTGGCCCTACTTCGTTAGTTAGGGAAATGATTTGGGACAGGTGATGACAGTTCATCTTGGGTTTTTCTGGAGTGCAGTGAAGTTTTGCAGTGAAAAAGCAGCGGGAACAGGCCTGACGGGTGTATCTGCTGTCGTAGGTGCTACCAACGAAGGCGTCGAGATTGTACTCCAGTGCCTTGACGTCATGCTAACTAAGCGCAGAAAGCAAGTTTCTCAGCAGAGAGCCCTTGCCTTCATCAAGCGTCTTTGTACCCTCGCTCTTCATGTTCTTCCAAATTCAAGCATTGGCATTTTAGCAACTAACAGAATATTAATGCATGTAAGTAGCCATGCAGACAAATGAGTAGAGCTAAGCTTTGCTGTGTGCAACAACAGTGCTGTCTTGTTTGCATCTTTCTCCCCATTTACATTACTACTGTACTACTGTAATAACAGCAAAATGGCAAAATCCAGCGAGAAAAGAAGTACATAAAATTACAAAAGGAAAGCATTCTCACCCCTGTTGATACTCTTCAGAGATAACTTACTTTTACCATTTGGTGGGTCCTTCCAGCAGACACTTTCATTCACATATAAACACGCCACATGCACACAGACAACACAGCTTTTTTATAGTGTACATTATTGTTCTGCGTATTTTCTTTAAACACTGTTGATGGACACATTTTTGTGTCCATACAAATGTAGCTGTAAAGTACATGTTCTTATAGCTCTTCTATAAGCATAAAATCAAAATAAATTTCAATACAGAGAAAAGTACAGAACCCCAATAACATTCTTTACTAAGACTAATTTCATTAGTTCTTTTTATGTGACATTTTTGCAGACTTTCCCAAAAACAGATTTGTTGCTTGACAATGAATCTCAGGGAAGTGGGGTTTTCCTTCCTGAACTGGATGAACCTGAGTACTGTAACGCCCAGAACACGGCTCTTTGGGAATTGCATGCACTCCGGGTAAGAATGGCCTTTTTTCATGTGATCAGTGTTTTTCAGTGTTTCCCAAAGTAGTTACTATTGCCAGAGTCCTCTGTATATTTTGTTCTGGCATGGCCTTTTGTAGAATTTCTGTTTTTTAATTTTTAAAAATTTTTTTTAATGTTTATTTTTGAGAGAGAGCACGCACGCGAGAGAGTGCGCAAGCAGGGGATGAGCAGAGAGAGAGAGGGAGACACAGAATCTGAAGCAGGCTCCAGGCTCTGAGTTGTCAGCATAGAGCCTGATGAGGGGCTCGAACTCACGGACCACGAGATCATGACCTAGCTGAAGTCGGCCACTTAACCGACTGAGCCACCCAGGCGCCCCTAGGATTCCTGTTTTAATAGTCTACATTTCGCTTTGCTCTTACTATTCTTTAAGATGTTGAGGTACATTTTCTAAGGAAGCAGAAAATGACAGTTTGGGGGTGTGGTTTAGAAGGTTTACTGCAGTCTTTCCCCAACACTATTCAGAATGGAAGGTCTATATTGGGTCCGACCTGAGGAGACTCTGACATCACCCCAGTTTCAAGAGGGCCACACTGTGTTGTGATCTCATGGTGCAGATGCATATAGGAGGAGGCTTGGAGCAAAATGTTTCAGGAAACCTGTTGTAAACGAACGTTTTTCACTCTAGAAGAGAAATTGCTTTTTGATTTTTTGTTTTCATACTGTAAAAGCAAGACTAAGGTATGTCAGTGGTAACTTGGTCATCAAACAGATTTATGTTGTCCTCTGAGCAAAGAGAATATTTTTTCTGTTGGGGTGTGCTTATTGTGAATTACATATATATATGATTTAAAAAATAGTGTTTATTAAGGAAAACCTTCACTGCAGCTAGTGCTGTAATTTATATAAAGTACTGACCTGTGCAAAACGTGGTCGTTCTTGCCCTTCAGAGACATTACCATCCCATTGTGCAGAGATTTGCAGCTCACCTGATCGCCGGAGCACCTTCTGAAGGCTCGGAAGCGCTCAAACCAGAGTTGAGCCGGAGGTATTTAGTAGTCAGCACTGCCTTATTATCAGACTACACATTGCAGTCGAGTGCTCTTTCTTATGAGAAGTCTGCTCTATAAAGTAATAGATTTTCAAATACAAAGTGCCAGTTGATCGGAATTTGGTCTCACTTCATATTTCTGAATTGTTCCAAGGAGAAAACATGTCGCCTGTGGGTTTTGTTAGCATGTTTTTGTTAGTTCGTTTTTGGTAATCAGTTAACATTTTTTTTGGTTCTAAAAAGTTTCACATGGGGCGCCTGGGTGGCTCAGTTGGTTGAGCGTCTGACTCTTGACTTCAGCTCAGGTCATGATCCCAGGGTCATGATGTCGGGCTCCGCACTGAGCATGGAGCCTGCTTAAGATTCTCATTCTCCGTCTGCCCCTCTCCTCTCTCTCTCTCTCTCTCTCTCTCTCTCTCTCTCTCTCTCTCTCTCAAAAAAAGAAGTTTCGCACATCCAGGTAAATAGTGAAAATACATGCCTGACGCACATTATAGGTAATGCCATACTTGCTCTATGAGAAGATCCACGAGTCCAACCACAGAGAGATTCCTTTTCTTTCTGCCCCCTCCTGGCTGGTCCTGCTAGGGCCATAAAGGGAGAAATGAGAGAAAAGAAGTGCTTTGTGACACTGGCACTCAAGCGGGGCGGCAGTTTCTCTCTTGCACCTCACGGTCATCTCTGTGTAGTGTGTCGTGACCTGCCGCCACTCCCAGCATTCGTCGTGCACTCCAGATGGGGAATAGGGTCCTGCCGGGAGAAGTTGCTTTTCCAGCTTCTTACTCTGAAAAATTTCGGAAGTACAGAAAAGTGGAAAAAGATATTACCTCTTTCCCTACAAAATTAGGCAATACTTGAATTATAAGAAAATAAGACATAAAAGATACCTTTGTAATATACCCACCACTCAGAATTAATATTTTGCTATAAATTTTTCTCATTTGCAGCCCACTGGTTTCTTTAATTTGGAGATCACAGACAAATGATCAGGAGGTCAGCAGACTGATGTTCTGGCCTCTTCACAGTTTAAACAAAAATGGAATTATTTGCTATATTTTAAATATTAGAGGAATTCACCTAAAAATAAAATTTCCAGCTCCTTGAAGTACTGGGAGATTTGGCAAAATAGATCTGTATTTTTACATGGCAGAAATCAGCTGCTTCCTCCCTTCTAAATGAGACATAAACTCTGTAGTTTTCCATGAATGCTTTTCCCTCTGGGTAGACTAAAGATAACTTTTGGTCTTATTAAATGATAAAGTGGCCGTTTGCTTTTTTTTCCCCTCATACTTCCCACCTGTCCTCCAGCCTTGTTTTTTATTTTTAATTTTATTTTTAATGTTTATTTGTTTTTGAGAGAGAGAGAGACCGAGCATGAGCTGGGGAGGGGCAGACACAGGATTGGAAGCAGGCTCCAGGCTCTGAGCTGTCAGCACCAAGCCTGACGTGGGGCTCGAATTCACAGTCTGCGAGATCATGAGCTGAGCAGAAGTTGGACGCTTAACCCACCAAGCCACCGAGGCACCCCAGTTTTTATTTTTTTTAAAGTTTATTTCGAAAGAGAGAGAACGAATGGGGGAGGGGCAGAGAGATGGGAATGGACAGAGGGTCCGAAGCGGGCTCTGCTGACAAGCAGAGAGCCTGATGTGAGGCTCCAACTCATGCATCTTGGGATCATGACCTGAGCTGAAGTTGGATGCTCAACTGATGGAGCCACCCAAGTGCCCCCAGCCTTTTCTAAAAGGGAGAGAAAGGAGAAAACAATTATTTGTCAGTTTTCTTATTCATGTTCCTTTTATGGCATGTTTTTGTCAGAGACTTTGAACATTTGCCTCATTTGTGCCAGAAATGTCCTTCTCTGGAGGAAGATGAAGGGTGGGTTTATCCCAAAAGCTTGAGAAAGGAGACTCCTGGTGGTCTTGCCCTGGAGGGTGGAGCTTGGGATGTGACTGTTGCAGGCCCTTCCCAATCTCCTTCAGAGAATGTAAACCAACCCCAAATCACTAAGCATTCATGGACAGCCATGGGTATGGACATTTAATCTAGGCCAGTAACTGAAAGATTGAGCTGTTTGAAAGCCATGGAGGGTAACACTGTGCTTCACTTCTCTGGACCCCCATGACTTAGTTGCATATTGTTCACATAACTGTGGTTGAGTTGGGATTTGATCACATTGAGCTGGAGGTCTTCTGCTCGGCCTTGTGTTTTGTCCAGCCTTGTATTTCTCAATGCACACCAGACCTCTCGGAGGTGGATTTAGTTGGATAACATTGTCATTACATGGGAATTTAGGGTTTATTTTACATGAGTTTGTTGGTTTTAAGAGCAAAATTAGGTTGTCCCTCACTATATGGGTTTAGAATAATGCGTGCTTCTCTTTGGGTACAATCTAATTATTTTCAAGTTACACGGGTATGGTGATGTCTTTACATTTCCTCTGTGATTATAGATCTGCTACAGAACTTTTTGAGACTTACAGCATGGCTGCAATGACATTCAATCCTCCTGTTCAGTCTTCAAGTTCCAAAAGGAAGGTATGTGATACTTTTCATGTTTTTTTAAAAGATGAAATAAAAACTAAGGATGTCTCTTATTAACTGATTCCAACTTGCTTGTGTTATAGGTACTTTTTTTTCCTCTCATGTTTAGGAGTTGATGGTAGGCTGGATCTGTGGGGTTGGGATTCTGTGGAGACAGTCCTGAGACCGTTTTGTTCAGTACAGGAGATGTCCAAGACCCGGCACATGTTGGCTTGGGGTCAGGTGTCACCATTTTTAATTTTGCTCACAGCTTGGCTTTTAGAACTTTTAATATGAGTTACTTTTAATATTTTTGCAGGATGAAGTTTTACAAGGGGATGCATTTTTGAATGAAGATTTAAATCAACTAATCAAAAGATATTGCAGTGAAGTCGCTACTCACTTGCCTCTGGATTTCAGCAGATATTCGACAACATCACTGCGGAGGTAGAAGAGTGAAGTGTCCATGGGCTTTCTTGCATATTTGTGTTTGTTTAGATGCACATAGAGACATATTGTTAATTTAGGACATTCTCTTTACATAAGGGAAGCTTCCTAAGAAAATTAACAGAGGTGGAAGAGTTACCCTTTGCATGGCACAGGGTTCTGCCCAGATTCTGAAAATGTCATTAAGAAAGGAGAATTGAGAGCCCCCTACCCCCATATTTGGAAGTTTCTTAATGATGTTGCCTTTTTAAAACTTAATATACATCTTAAGTTATAGTTAAAAAAAAAAATCTTTGAAGTGAACTTAATTGAATTACAGTTGCTAGATTAAAATGAGGGCATAGAGTGCAGAAAAATCAAGACCGTGAGATTGCTTTATACCATTCAGCTACTCTTTATGACCAAAACTCTTTTTTTTTTTTTTCCTTTTGATGTTTATTTATTTATTTTGGGAGGGGGAGAGAGAGAGAGCGTGTGAGCGAGCAGGCGAAGGGCAGAGAGAGGAGAGAGAGAATCCTAAGCAGGCTCCCTGCTGTCAGTGCAGAGCCCAATGTGGGGCTCAATCCCACAGACCCATGAGATCATGACCTGAACCGAAATCAAGAGTTAGACACTCATCTGACTGAATCACCTGGGCGTCCTGACCAAAACGCTTTCTAATGAAGTAAATATATATTTTTTGGAACACTGTAGATGAAAATAAGAATTCTATATTTGAATGAGTATATTTTTATAAAGATTTTTGAGAAAAAGAGAAAATAGTTTGAAATTGGACACCAAGTTCATTGGCTCTTGTTGGATGATACACTTCAAGAAGTAATCTAATTCGATCTTTTTTTTTTTTTATTTTTTTTCAACGTTTATTTATTTTTGGGACAGAGAGAGACAGAGCATGACGGGGAGGGGCAGAGAAGGGAGACACAAGAATCGGAAAAGCTCCAGGCTCTGAGCCATCAGCGGAGAGCCTGGCAGGCTGAATCCACGGACGAGATGATGTGACCTGGCAATGTCCGGATCTTAACAACTGACGCCCGCCCAGCGCCTAATTCGATCTTTTAAAAAAAAAGAATGAAGTGTCTTCGATAGTACTTGCAATGAAAGTTTGAATGTGACTCTAATCTCTTCAAAGTTCTTTGCATTTTCTGATGTGCTCTGGAGGGTGATGGGGGAAGGACTCCTGGGTGGAAAAACCAAGTCTAAGACTGGACTCTGTTTAAGGATAAATGGTGCCTATTGAAGGGCTTTTCTTCTTCTTTTCTTCCTCTTCCACCCTCTCCTCCTCTTCCTACCCTCCTCCAGCCCCTCCTCTCCCTTTGCCGTATCTGATCCTCTCTTCTTTATGAATATAATTAAACAATATTTTACCTAAGATCTATGCATATTCTAGGAATGACCTCTGAAATAAGTTTTATTACAACAGGTTTATTTCTTTACTGTGAATAATTAAATAAAACAGCTGCTTTTTTCTGCTTCCTATTTTTTTTTTTTCCTTAATTTGTTTTGAGAGAGAGAGTGAGAGGGGTGGGGCAGAGAGAGAGGGAGAGAGGGAATCCCAAGCAGGCTCCACACTGTCAGTGCAGAGCTACCTGAGGGAGCAGTCTCATAACCATGGATCTGTGACCCTGTGAGATCAGAGTCAGGTCTTGTGACCTGAGCCACCCAGGAGCCCCTGTTTGTTTGTTCCTTCCTTCTTTCTTTGTTTTTCTTTCTTTCTTTTCTCTTCTTTTCTTTCTTTCCTTCTTTTTTTTTCTTTTTTCTTGTCTTTTCTTTTTTCTTTTCTTTCTTTTCTTTCTCTCTCTCTATTTAAGCAATCTCTGTACCCAACATGGGGCTTGAACTCATGGACCTGAGATCAAGAGCCGTATGCTCTACTGACTGAGCCAGCCAGGTACCCTTCTGCTTCCTGTTGTGATGTGAGAATTTAATAAAATGTACAGCATTCCCAATTAAATAGATCTTCTATGTCTTTGAAACTATAGAAGCCAGTTCCTTTGTTCTAGAGCTTACAGCCCTTTTTTTCCCTCATGAAATAAATGAAATAGAAATTGCCTTTATTATTCCAGCTTAATGGGGGATATCTGCTCAACAGTGCATGTTATCTTTCAGCGTGCATGTGTGTGTGTGTATGTTTATATATATATAGCATATTCTTATGTGATTTTAAAAAGTTTTTTTGTAGGCTTGATTATTTAATGAAAATGTACAATTTAATATATAAATATTTGCTTTTAAACCACATTTTAGATATAAAACAGAGTCCAGAAACGTTATGAATAGATGTTTGGATGACCACATGGTCTTTCCCCATCAGAGCACAAATGACCAATGCATGTCACAAATCATTTATTTTCCAAACATATACAAATACATTTATATTTCACTTTGGCAGGAGAAACTAGTTTAGGTGAAAAATCAATTTTGAAGTAGAAATTCATGAACTATTTCACACTTGTATTATGCTTTTAACTTTGTAGTTACACATACAGAGAATCACAGTGGGACCATAAAATTACACATCTAGTATTTGAATACCCTTTATGAATTTGAGAATGAAATCTATTTGTGCATAAACTTTCATGGCCTGTGTTGATGAGTTTCATTTTCAGAACTAAATATCATAGTAACATACACACACACACACATCCTGAGGCTATAACAAGCTTACAGCCTTAATATATTTTTAACTAGACCAATATCGAGCACCTACTATGTGCTTAGCACTGTGCTAAGCACTTAAAAGTGAAGTGGGATAATAACGAGTGTAAGACACAGCTTCAGTCTTCCATGGTCCTGCATGTTAAGTCAGATCATTCACACAACATGAAAAAAAATGCAACATTACCCAATTCAGTGTCAGAGTGAATTATTTCAAAGTTCAGAGACTTAGGAAAGGTTTCAGAGACCTGCTTGATGGTCTGCTTGAGCATAGTATATTTTGGATCTAAGAGATGTATATGAGTGAGTAGCTTGGTAATCATGGAGAGTCAGTATTTCAAAAACACTCATTTCAGGTCATCCCATGTCCAAATCCTTAGCCATCAGCCAAAGATTCCTTTCAGGAAGTTGATACTTAGAGATGGCCAAGAACACATAAATTGTTGACAGTGCCCCATATCATGGGTGCTGGACTTGGTGTAAGAGGCAATCTTTGTTTTCTAATAACTTTCCGGAGGGTCCAGGTGTTCACCTCTTGTCACTTTGACGCTCATGTAAGAGAAGCAACTGCGAGGGGTCCGAGGCAGCCGTCTGGAGAGCACGTAGGCTGTGGGCTGCCTCCCACTCCGCCTAGTTGGAGATCCGACACCAGCCAGGAAGATCCTACTCTTCTCTTGGTGTGGCCGAGTTGTGGAGTATCGTGTGGGCAAGTCAATTCAGTTTTTTCCAGGCAGAATGCAATCTCTGTTACTTGTCAGAATTAAGCAAGGCCTATGGTTGTCCAGGCAGAGGAGGACAGATCTGCAGAGGTACTGGATAGGGAGGGAGAGCAGAGGAAGGGGAAGATGCAGTTTGAGGAAGGAGTGGGTGTGTGGCAGCAGGGGGCCCGCTTCATTAAAGAGCCTCCAGTGTTTCCGGAGCCATTGAGATGGGAGACCTTTGTAAGAAAGTAACTTTAATTAAAAACAGGCACTGTAACTCACTTGTAGCTGCAACTATATACCCCCAACTGGAGAATTTATAAATAACTTACTTGCAAAGGATGACATGAAAAGAAGGTTCCCTCAAGAGGGCACTTTCCGCCCAAATAGTATTGTTACTTACTACAAATTTGCCCTCAAACTTACCCTGGCTTCCTTAACAACCTCATGTAACCTTCTATTATTTTGTAAAACAACCAATTGCAGATGAACAGGTGACTGAGAGGAAGTTAGTCTATTTCTTTCAGCATCACTGATCAAGTTGGATTCTTACCTAATCCTTTCTCATCAGCTCTGTATATTCTGTAAAGCTGGCATCACCATACAGAGTAACACAACTCACGTTCCTCTGCTTTTAGTGAAGCGTCTTCAAATACTTTTCCTCCAAACTTTGTAATAAACCTAACCTGCATAAATAGGTTCTTTTTTTCTTTTTAATGTTTATTATGTTGAGAGAGAGAGAGCATACGCGCACGAGCAGGGTAGGGGCAGAGAGAGGGAGGCACAGAATCCGAAGCAGGCTCCAGGCTCTGAGCTGTCTGCACAGAGCCTGACCTGGGGCTCGAACCCACAAAGAGAGATACTGCGAGATCACGACCTGAGCCAAAGTTGGCCACTTAACTAACCGAGCCACCCAGGAGCTCCTATTTAGATTCCTTTCCATATCAACTTACTGATAAAAGTTTGCTACCCAGATTTTTAGTAGTATGGAAAGTATGAAGTAGTATGGTACAGTCTGGGTGGCCATTTTTGATTCATTCTAAATAGGGTAATTTCTTTCATTTGGTATGCCATCATAACTCTATGGTTCAGATAAACTAAAATAAAAATTTTGTATTTTCGGCAAACACCAGGTTGTTTTGGTTAGTTGTAATAGAATAGATGCTTTACGTTTTGAGCAATGTGTCCTTCCTGAAGTCCCAAAGAATCAAATAGAGGATGTGCTTTCACCTCAAAAGGAACTGAACAATCAAGTAGGGTTCAGTACAGGCAATATATTCACTTGTGAGACGTGGTCTCACTTCAGTCTCAGGAAGTTGCCGATTCTGTTCTGCAGCCAAATGAACTATGTTAAAGATGGGGGTGAGGTGGGACTGGAGCTTAGAATCAAGGCCAAGTGATAAAACCTAGAGAGACCAGTCATCTCATCTCTGCATGGGTTTTCATTTGACTCTAGCCAGTTAGGCCAGTAATTCAGTTTGCAATACACGGTATGCCAAACCAGAAGAAAAGATGCCAGATTTATAGAAGCATGATAACGTGTTTCTGGAATGGTTTTTTTTTTTTTTAATGGGCAGTACTGTGCATTTATTATAGATTATTTGAAAAGAAACCTGTAGCACTGTGCAAACTCCATCAAACTGGAATAGCCTGAATTCTGTCGACAAGCAAGTGGTCACTGCTGTAGCATTAAGGCTTTGAGTACGAACTTCCAATAATGTGAAAGCTGTATGGTGTGATTTTTTTTTTGTTTGTTTTTATTTATTTTGAGAGAGAGAGAGAGAGAGAGAGAGTGTGAGCAAGTAGGGGAGGGGCAGAGAGAGGGGAGAGGGAGAGAATCCCAAACAAGCTCTGCACTGTCAGCACGGAGCCTAATGTGGGGCTCGAAGTCACAACCCGTGAGAACATGACCTGAGCCAAAGGCAGATGCTGAACTGACTGAGCCACCCAAGGCGCCCCTGTGTGGTATACTTTTAACACTTCTGATTTTAGAGTATGCAAAGAACTGGGGACCGTGTTACTCATTTTTACAATTGGCACAAAAAGAACTTCTCAAAAGGTTAGGACTTTGTTTTATAATTTGAAGAAAAAATTTTAATATCAGCAGAAAGATAAAATTTGGATTTTGCTTCAGAGGGGCACACATTGCATTTTAAAAGTCATAATTTGCTTCATACTGAGAGTAAAAATCTTTTATACTTACGTTATAGTTTTATGCAGTAAGATTTTAAAGATAATTTACCTTGAGTGGCAATTATGACTTGGATCAATAGCTCTTCAATTAGAAATGAAAATGAAGCTTTTTTTTTGCATGAAATTCTGGCCCATGTCAGGTATTCAGAGCATACTTTTTTTTTTTTTTTTTAGGAGATTTGTCTTCAAATAGTGAGCTAGAACCACTAATACTTCTAAATCTATAAGCAATATCAAGAAAGCGATGTATAATAAATATATAAGTACAGTGTCAGTACAAACCTTGCAAAATAAATAAATTTGAACACCAACTCAGTCTACTTTTACTTTAAGAAATGTTAAATTTTTTGTTAAGATGTCACAGCTCAGAAGATACTAATTTGTACATCATTCTAAATTCAATTTGTGAAAACCAAAAGTGGAATAATCTGTGAATAATACATAAGCAATAAACTTAAAAAAAACCCAACATCATTCTGTATGTAAAAAGAAATGGTAAAGAAGAGTCCACTATGGTGCACAATATAGAAACTAAATCAAATTACTTTGTGATGAATCTCACGGGACATATTTACACTCGCAATGCCCTAAAGCTTCCAATTGTCCGCCATGAACTGTATGACTAACCTCGCTTGTTTTCAGACCTCTGTGGCTCTTGTTGCCAGTTTTCTAAGTCAGGTCAGCAAACTATGGCCCTGGGCCAGATCTAGCCTGCCGCCAGTGTTTGTATGGCTCTTGAACTAAGAATAGCTTTTACATTTTTAACTGATTGGAAAAAACCCCAAAGAGGATTATTTGTGATGTGAAAATTATGTGAAATTGTGATTTCAGTGTCTGTAAATAGTTTCATTGGAATACAGCCATGCTCATTCACGTATAGATCATCTATGGCTGCTTTTGCACTGTAACAGCCGAGCTGAGTAATTGCTACAGAGACCATATGGCCCATAAAGCCTAAAATGTTTACCACCTGGCCCTTTATGGACAAAGTTTGCTGACCCTTGTTCTAAGTCAGTTATTGCGAGCTTAGCAATGTTTTTTTCCCAACTGCTGACATTTGCAAAGTGGCAATCTCCTGGGCTGCATTGTTGCATTCATCAGGAATTGGTTGGTAGGTAGCCCTTGCCATTTTGCTTGTCCTCAGCATGGACCTCACATCATGTGTCAAGAAGGCTTCGGTTCAGAAATCCTCAATTTCCAGTTTAAGTCTAATGAAAATAAGCAAATTGTATTTGTTTCCACCATGTTCACTCTTGACTTTAACTTCTTACCAAAAGGTCTTCACCTGTAAAGTTGTATACATAGCTTTGTTAGTATATTTAAAATGCAGGAACAGAAACATTTGCAGTGTAGCAAGGGTTTAGTGTTATTCAACTGACAGAAACCCACAACTTTGGTGGCTGGTTTTGGAGGAGAGACTATTTGCTATAAACTCACAGTGTCATAACATGATGCTCCTGGGTGGTGGAACATGAGCCTATTTCTGTTCTGAACACCACATTCTTTAGAAAGATTTTTGTAATCACAATCAAATAAATTTCAACTTTTTTAAAAGGGGGAAGTCCTTCAACTCTGCATTATTTCAGATATGAGTAAGGTATATAATTGTGGAAATTATTAAGGGGTAACTCAAAACTTCAGGGGTGAAAATTTTAGAACAAGTAACATGAAACCTTATGTTCTCAGAAAGCAGCAAAAACACTACACTTGTCTTCTTGCGAGCACAAAAAGTCTCTTCTCATGAGACCATTTGTAAAGGAGTTTATAACATGAGATACATATTCCCATAGATGCACCCATGGATGTTTTTAAAGAGAAGCTTCCCCAAGTTTAGGTAAAGCTGAGGTCAACTCAATGATTTTGCTTGCTACAGAAAAATATAGTCCAAAGGCATACCTCTAAATCACCCCCCCACCCCTCCTCCTAATAATGCTCATTATAGCAAGCTTATTCTTTTTAAGTCAGATTTCCAGTGGAGATATATTCCGATGTACTTCTTGTAATCTTGTGGCACAGTGAGGGCTCCATTGTGCAGAGCATAATTCCACTGTCACCGTGGAGGTTATAATATAAGGGGTGTGTATAACATCACATCTCTGATTTGATGCTAAGTTCTTGACATGGAAAACAATATTTTAGGTTTTAATTACTGTCCTTAGTGTCACGCTCACAGACCCACTACCAAGGTAAGCCATCTTCTAAACAGCTATGGAGGCTCAACATTGATGCTTAGTCCTAAAGCTCACTTGGCTTTTGGAGGAGGCACTGTTGTCTTAGTGTCCTGGGGCAAAAAAGAAAGTGAGTCTGGAACTTTTAATGTATGTATGTATGTGTTGATCGATTAATTGTAATCTCTGTGCCTAACGTGGGGCTCAAACTCACGGCCCCAAGATCAAGAGTCGGGCGCTTCACCAACTGTGCCAGCCAGAGGCCCCTGGAACTTTAAAAAAAATTTTTTTTTATGAGTGCATGAGCAGGGGAAGTGCAGAGAGAGGGAGAGAGAGAATCCCAAGCAGGCTCTGTGTTGTCAATGCAGAGCCTGACCTGGGGCTTGATTTCATGAACCATGAGATCATGACCTGAGCTGAAATCAAGAGTCAGCCGCTTAATCAACTGAGTTGCCCAGGCACCCCACCCCTGGAACTTTTGAAAATTAGGATTCCAGATGTATCTCAACAGAAAATGAGTGTTGAACATTGTCAGTCTGGCATAGGTCAGGGCTTTGCCGTTCTGTGTGTATTCACTATTGTCCGATGCTATTTGATGGGGATTTGCTGCTGTAGTTCTGAGAGTTCCTTCTGATGATCCTTTCCATACAGAACCTAAACAAACCTCAGAATAGCTGGATACGCAGATATTCTGAAGGAGGGTGTTCCCTGTGTCTGGCCCTGGCTGTTTTGGAAGAGCTTTGCACGCTTTGTGTGGGGCACCGATTATTTTAAGAGCTTCTTAAATGTAGAAATACGGACTCAGTGTATTGAGCCTTCTTTTGTGCTATTATAAATCAAATTAGGTCCTGTCAAAAGGTATCAATAAAGTCTTTAATTGTGAGCTCCAATTTAATATAAGAAATTCCTAATTGTGATAAAGACAGACGATCAACCTCTACAGTATAAGCAGCAATGCCTTCACTATGCCGTCGGTCTCATTAATTTTACAACTACAGTGACACAGGTAAAAACTGGGCTTTAATCCCTGGGTTCATTAACAAACTAAATGAAAAAAAAATCTGGTTTCCTCAAGTTCTTTTTTTTTTTTTAATTTGGGTTCCGTATACGGTAATTTGTTTTAAGGTAGAACTAAGTTTACTCTGTAAATGCCAAGCAGTGGGTGGGCAACCAAAGGCTTAATTTACTGCAGTTTCAAGACAGCGGCTGTTATGTTATTTTGCTTTCTTTTTAACCATCGCATCCTGGATGCCAGGTTTTTAATGTTTTAATTGAGGCAGACCAAGGTGAGGTTGTTGAGGCTAAATCAAACCTTAAAACGGACCTGAAACTAGAAATCCAAAGGAATAAGAGCTGAATGACCCACAGAAGTCCTTTGAGAATGTCCAGGACCATGAGCAATAATTAAGGCAGTTCTATGTCTGATGAAATAAGGCTGATGTAGTAGGTCGGGCAAGTGGGTTGTCCTCTCGGGGCCTTCGTCTGGCCATCTACAAACCCAGCAGTCTAAAGTTATAAATGTTATACCTAAATCTGCAGAGGTCTTTTCCTGTTTTTAGGTACCATTCCTATCTGCCTTCAGGGGACATCCTCCTACTGGGCCTTACACAGTAGTTGGTCCCCGTTTCAGAATAGTGTGATGATTCAAGTCTACCCGGGTAAAACGTGCCAACCTTGGTTATTGTCGATAGTCCATGGTGTCACTGGAGGACAAGCTGCCCATAGGTTTCTCCTCCTTGTTTTGGACACCTTCTGAGGCCAAGACCTGAGAAGGTGATGCGAGTCCTCGGGGTTGTTTAGTTGACTTGGTGAACTTCTTAAATTCACTTGCAAAAGAAATGCCTTTCCTTTTGTCTTCTCGGGATGCCTGTGGGGAAAAAAAGAACCTTCCATTGGTATGTTAAAGCCGGGATCCTCAGTCACATGACATGCTATCATAGAACCCTTTCCTCTTCCTCTCCAGTAAGTAGAGCTTTGGGAAGAAGTGCTGAGGGACACCCCTTTCAGGACTGCTTACCCATGGAGGGATGGCAGGCACTACCTTTCTTTTCACATAGTGAAAATGAAGCCAAATGATTTTCTCCCAACTATATCCCTTGGCTCAGGAACTTTCTTCAAGATTTCACGAGCTCCCAAATTTGATTACCGTGGAGCTGTGATTAGCAAATACTTTGTGAAGAGAGCAAAAGAACTTTGAACTTTACCTGCACCTGCTCCTTTAGCTTAAGGATGAATTTTCCTGCCCCTTTCCACTTGCTTTGGGCTTGAAACACACACTCCTGATCCAAAAGGACCCGCTGGGAGCACTTTGGGGTGGAAGACTTCTTGGTCGTGTCTTTTACCACCTCTTCCAAAAGCACATAGTCACTTGGGTTGGGATTGCTCAGGATGCTGTAGGAATACTTTGCTTTGCACAAGGTCTGAAAGATAAATTACAGTCAACTGAGGGGCGCCTGGGTGGCTCAGCTGGTTAAGCGTCTGACTTCAGCTCAGGTCATGATCTCACAGTCCGTGAGTTCGAGCCCCGTGTCGGGCTCTGTGCTGACAGCTCAGAGCCTGGAGCCTGCTTCGGATTCTGTGTCTCCCTCTCCCTCTGCCCTTCCCCTGCTCACACTCTGTCTCTCTCTCTCAAAAATAAATAAACATTAAAAAAAAGGGGCGCCTGGGTGGCGCAGTCGGTTGGGCGTCCGACTTCAGCCAGGTCACGATCTCGCGGTCCGTGAGTTCGAGCCCCGCGTCAGGCTCTGGGCTGATGGCTCGGAGCCTGGAGCCTGTTTCCGATTCTGTGTCTCCCTGTCTCTCTGCTCCTCCCCCGTTCATGCTCTGTCTCTCTCTGTCCCAAAAATAAATTAAAAAAATTGAAAAAAAAAATTAAAAAAAATTACAGTCAACTGAATACACAGTATCTCCAACACTTGCATTCATTCTGAATGAGACTTGAAGGTGGGGAAAATGTCACAGACGTTTAGAGAAGGAAGGGATCTTTCAGATGGCCTCATATCATTCGTCATTTTACATCTGTGTACTTATAGCTTGTAACGTGCTTTCTTGCATTACCTGATAAAGCTTCACAACAGCTTCACAACAAATGGGGTAATGATTTAGGTATTACCCCATTTTCAGACAAGGAAGCTTAAATGTATGAAGGTTAAGCAGATTCCAAAGGATGCACAACTAATAAGTGCTAGAATAAGGACTTCCACTGGATTTTCTACATGCACCAAAGCTCATAGACATGAAGGTCACACAGACAATGAGAGACAGAATCTTGACCTTCAGGAGCCTTTCTGTCCCACCAGGCTGCTTCTTCATCTCCGTGTCTTGGATGTTGAAGGCATTTTAGTTATTTACCTGGCCTCACTTCTCATTTAGTACGAGATCATCTTTCGCTTACATGTTTATTTAGTCATCAAATGTTTAGTGAGGGCTTCCTGTGTCCCAGATACAGTACTATTCTTTGGAGAGATAAAGATGAACAAAAAAACCCCCATATGTCTGGGCTTTCTTGGAGTTCAAACTCTATTAAGGAGGCAAATATTAACCACATAATCATGCAACAATAGCAAATAACACTATAGTGTTTGCCATGTGCTGAGCATTATACACATTACCGATACTTACTGACTTCACTGTCACAACAACTCTGGGTGGAAAGTACTATTATACTATTTCCATGTTATCTACGTAGTAACTTAGCACATGGTAAACAGTGTGCTGGAGCCAACTGGAACGGGCCAGTGAAATCAGACATGGTGGGAGGATCCACACAACAGAAACTGGCAAACACAAAAAATCAGTTGGAGCTTTTTTGTTTTTCCTTAAGAGAGCCAGTTTACCAGCACACTACTGTAGCTGAGGCACAGAGCGGGGGTCAATTGCACTACCGGGTATTTATCCAAAGGATACCAGAGTGTTGTTTCACAGGGGCACATGCACCCCAATGTGTAGAGCACCACTATCAACAATAGTGAAAATATAGAAAGAGCCCAAATGTCCATTGATGAATGAATGGATAAAGAAGATGTGGGGTGTGTGTGTGTGTGTGTGTGTACACACACACACACACACACACACAATGGAATATTACCTGGCAATCAAAAAGAATGAAATCTTGCCATTTGCAACAACATGGATGGAACTAGAGGATATTATGCTCAGCGAAATCAGAGAAAGACAAATATATGACTTCACTCATGAGGATTTCAAGAGACAAAACAGATGAACATAAGGGAAGGGAAGCAAAAATCACATAAAAACAAGGAGGGGGACAAAACGTAAGAGACTCGTAAATATGGAGAACAAACCAAGGGTTACCGGAAGGGTTGTGGGTGGGGGAATGGGCTAATTGGGCAAGAGGCATTAAGGAGAACACTTGTTGGGATAAGCGCTGGGTGTTATATATAAGTGATGAGTCACAAAATTCTCCTGAAATCATTACTGCGCTATATGTTAACTAATTTGGATGTAAATTTTAAAAATTAATAAGTTTAAAAAATTTTTTAAAAAGTAGAGCTGGGGTTTGAACCTGGAGTAATTTGATCTAGAGTTTTCTGTGCTGTTAACCATTATGCTACACCACTTCTCAAATGGGTGTTTAATAAACACAAACCATTACAAAGCTTGAAGGAAGGAAGTATAGTTCTCTGAAACCATGTGCACCAAGAAGTATGACTTAGAGCAGGGAAAGGGCCAGAGAAGGCCTCCAGCATGTCTTCTGTAGGATCTTTGAGAGACAGTCTTTAGGATTGGCTTAGGCATGTCTGGGGCAATAAAATTACTACTCTGTGGAGTTCCTACCTCAATCTATTAATCAACACTTCACAGAGAGCCAGACTCATGGTAGATACTAGGTGAATTGTCTGCTGAAGGAATGAACTAGTATTTTCCAACTGTAAGAGGCACACTCTCCCTCTTCAGATCCCCATTGTTCTAGAACTTCACTCATAAAATGCGCTGACATCAGATTTGTCCTAGTGATTTACACTGAGGAGCTGACTGAGGCAAGCAAGGGAGAGGTTTCACCTGCTGAATGACGTCCTGTGCGGTGCTGACACGGGGTGCTTTGATGACCGTTCGAGGTTGCTCTGGAGAAACATCGTGCACTTGAACAAAGAAACTCTCCTCCTCTGAGCTCAAGGTCACCTCTTTGTCATCTTGAACAATGCTTTTCTCTTCTAGGTTCTGTGTTTAAAGAGATGAAAAGTGTGAGTAAATGGTAAGATGATGTAGAGTAAAAAAGAAAAACCTAGCAAAAATGTGGGCTATATCTTGGCAATGTGGAAACTATATCTTAGCTTTATATTTCATACACTAATTAGTATTTCATGGACTATTCTAAAGGGTATACGTATCTTCTGAGAGGAAGAAAGTAATGTGGGTATTTTTGCTGATATTGACAGACTAATAAGGACCTGGCTCAAAATAAACCAAAAGATCTGCTCCTACTGCCAGTGGAGTTTGAGTCCCAGTCAACTGTAGACAAATTTGGAAGAGGACAATACACCATTTTGCCAAATATTAAAAGTCAAATAAGAACACAGCAAATTACATTTAGGAGAAAGCCCGTTCATGCCCTACACAGGCCTTGAGCATTTAAGAAATGCTGGAGATCTGAACAATGAAATGTGCAAACTGGCATCCAGCCAGGCTGGAAGAACAGGAACTACAGCGGAAAGGCGGAACCCATGGCTGGAGGTAGGTCACACTGAAACGAATGTTGACAAAATTCTCAGTAGTTATGAGAATTGGTCATCAGGTTAATTGGCTTTTAGCAAATTTTACACATGGAGCTATATATATAAAATATATATTTAGATATATCTGTAGGCATATGTATCATTAAAAATTTTCAAACAGTATAGAAATAGATCAATAAAAAGCCAAGCTTTCCCCATTATCAACTTTTTCCCTTCTGTGTCTCATCTCATTCCCTACAAAAAAACCACTGTTGTTAGGTTATATATGCTTCTAAACATCTGCTATGAATGTACACGTATATTTTTGTATATGTGAATACATATATACTATGAAACCCTGGAATTACGTGAATTTAGATATAATATGATTGTCAGATGGCTCCCCCGCCCCCTTTTTTTTAGCCCTATTCTCAAATGAAGGGTAGCTTATAGTTATCTTCCGCAAGGGGGAGGTCTGAAGGGGAAGAGGCAACCTCATCTCAGGAAGAGAGCATTTAGCAGGAGAGTCCTTCAATTCCAGCATTCTCCTAGCCTGATCTCAGGTCAAGCCACTGAAATGACTGAAATGGTCCTAACTAATCCAAGAAAAATCCAAGAATCGTTGTCACTAACTATCCTGGAGGTTCCAACCAGCCAGCCATAGGATCCAGAATTGTCCCCTTTGATACTGAGGCAGAATGGATAACTGCCACCAGGTGGTGCCAAACTGCAACCAGGACCAGAAAGGACTTGGGTTGCAGGAGCTTCTGGCCCCACAGGCTCACCCCAGTCATAATCATTAATCACACAATCATGGTCCCTAAAATTTTCATGACTGATGTTTTTGGACCCCATCCGTTATATTAGGGGTGTTGGGAGGGGAGAGTTACTGTCCATTTTTATTACATAAACTGAGATTGTACTCCATATAATGTTCTGCAACTTGTTTTTTCCTCCCCACTTAAAAGATTGTGGTGTTCATTTCATGTCAATTATTAGAGATTTAGCTGTGTAATATATGTCATTGTGTTGACCATGATATATTTAACCAGTCTGAGAGTGGGGTTGGGTGGTAATTCATCTGACATAATTTATAATCCATATCTTGAAAACCAGGAAGCAAGCAAATATGAAAACAAAAAAGTTCTAATGGACACATAAAATATCTCAATAACTATGCAATAAACATTACTTTTAAGAGACCTCCTCAGAGCCTCTCTCAGAACTTTTTTATTTTTAGGGAGTTTTCTGCCCCATTAGAAGGTACAGGTTATGACCAGAACAACAGTCCTCACTTACAGTTCTTTACAGCTTACTAAGCATTTTTCTACATATTGTCTCTATGTTTGGCATGAGGCTCATGTTAATCTTTTTCAATCACAGATTTACAAATTAGGGCACAGAGGTTTACAGAAGTTAAATGAGCTGTCCAAGGTCATTTAATTTGTGGCAGAGCCAGGTCTGTCTGATTTCAAATCCAGCAGGTGTCATAGGAAGGCATATTGACCACAGGAAGATGTGATCCTGACAGCTTGAGAACCTAGAAGACAAGAAAACTATAAAAGGCAGGCAAGGAGGAGAGATCAGAGGTCATGGATAACAGTTTGGGGACTCTGAATATATGGGAAAATGGCTTATTTATCTTACTAGTTCCACAGAATGAAATAAATGGAAATACATAGAGCCCAGATCTATCAACTATACTAGTGTCTGCTTGCATTCAATAATTGCTGAATTCATTTATTCAGTCAGTAAATATGTGTGTGCCACGATGTACCAGGTCACCTGAGACACATTAAATGTGATTTGTTATCTTTGGAGATACATGTCAGTCATTTCAAAAATCTCTTCTCCACAGGAGAAGTTTGTTGTATTCTCCCCATCAGAACATGTTTGTTAGCCTTCCTTTCTAACTCATTCCCCTTATTGTTCAAAATGCTTCTCGCCCACTAGCCCTTGTTAAGTATTTATTCCTGAGGTCTCTATAGCCTGTTTTCATATACACCTTAAGTTGCATATGGGCATTCCTAACCTCCCCAGCCCTTCTAACTATAAGACACTCAAGAGCCTGCCCATGTTCCCTCTTGCTCACTGCCTCCCACTGCCCCCACAGTGCTGGGTGCCATGGTCCAGGAAGGCTGATGCATCACCAGCCTTGGCAGCACAGGATGGGGCAAGGACACTGACCTTCGAAGCCACAGACCTGAGTTCTTTCTACTTCTCACTTTGTCACGATTTAACCTCTGTGAACCTCAATTTCCTATGTGCGAAATGGTTTTCATTACCTCATGAGATCATTCAAAAAAGTAGTGAGTGAGAACTTTGAACATGGTAAATCATTATGCAAATATATGGTTTGAAAATTCGCTTGCTGGGGCGCCTGGGTGGCGCAGTCGGTTAAGCGTCCGACTTCAGCCAGGTCACGATCTCGCGGTCCGTGAGTTCGAGCCCCGCGTCAGGCTCTGGGCTGATGGCTCAGAGCCTGGAGCCTGTTTCCGATTCTGTGTCTCCCTCTCTCTCTGCCCCTCCCCCGTTCATGCTCTGTCTCTCTCTGTCCCAAAAATAAAATAAACGTTGAAAAAAAATTTTAAAAAAAAAAGAAAATTCGCTTGCTGACCTTATCACTTAGAGGACATTTTTTTACATGTAGCTAAAGAATGAGGCAAGTCAACGAGAAAAAATACAGAAAAATTTAGAAACTGAAGAAGGCTTCAAAAGTCCAGCTAAGGCCTCTGATATTTTCTCATAAAGCTATTATCATCAGAACTGCTCATTACCTGCCTTTGCAATGTGTATGTCTTATAGGGAGAGGAGGTTGGGGAGACGATTACATTTCTTTGCTTAACTGGAGTGTCCTTTTATGGTCTAAGGCAAGGTTAGGAAGAAAGGCAGTGGCTGTGGTTCCCAGAGCAGATGTTGGAGGTCTGTGGAGTACGATGCAGGCCATGTTCACAGTTCGGTGCAGAGTGAAAAAGTGGCACATGACGCTGAAAACTGGCTCTTTATCATCTCCACTGTCCCAACATCATGGATCACCAATGGGCATTTTACCAACCAAGCTCTATTACATGTCCCAAAGGAGAAGATAGATCGTGTGCCCAGAACAGGGCTTGGCATGTATTAGATGCTCAATAAATATTTGTTTAATCTAATTGTTGAATTGACTCCACTCCCTCATTATTGACATATCATGAGGCCTGAACATCTATGGTGGAGCAGTGACTTTATGTCATTTAAAAAAACGGCGGTAAGTTAGTGGGCTCTTAACCGTTTATTCAAAAAAAAAAAAAAAATCAGTACTCCATCCACAAACTTGAAAAGGAACTAATCAATGTAGAGCTGACAGGAAGTCGCTATATTATTTTCCTTCATGCGAATGATCACAGGAATGTTAGTGAACATAACGTAAATTCTTACTAACTCTGATCAAGGCTGAGAGAATGCTTTGTGTGAAGTTTCAGAATATTTTCAAAGAACTACTGTTCTACCTAAAAACACAGAACTTTTTATCAGCTAAAACTTTAACAGGCACGAACAAGAAGGCAACCAATTCCCAAATGTAAAATACCAATGGGACTAGCATGACACGGTCCTGTGACCCTTATGACAATGCCTTTTCGCATATAAATCAAAGCCTGGACCCACAGTTGATGACAAGCATGAGGAATCCTTTGAATTCTTGCTCCCTTTCTTTTACAAGAGATGGTTTTTAGACTGAATTTCTGTAACTTAGAGATAACATTCTGAATAAGTGCAGAAGAATAAAATCATTTCTCCCCATTTACTTAAGAAGAATAACATAAATCAGGTTGCAATGATAAATTCTGAATCGAGGGAGGTGGCCAGTGGTGAGGTGGTTAATCACACCCTGAGTTGTTAGGGTGTGAGACACACTTACTTCCTGCTGGGTTTTTAAGACAATCCTGCCAACATATCCTTCCTCTGGAAACCAGCTGCTTAAAATCTGCATAATCTCTTCCTCTGGACCAATGACTCTCTGGAACGGTTGTTTCCTGCATTCATTCTTTTCTTTAGATATAAAATATTTTTCTTCCATCAAAAAATAGTCTGTGATGATAGGTTTGGTGTCTTGTTCAGTGGTCAGAATCTAAAGAAAAAGCAAAGGCAAAACTTTAATTCAAAATAAGCCAGTTTTGTACAGAGAACAAACTGATGGTTAGCAGAGGGGAGGTGGGTGGGGAGGTGGGTGGGTGGGTGGATGGGGGATGGGTGAAATAGGAACTAGGGATTAAAGACTATACTTATCCTGATGAGCACTGAGTCCTGTATAGAAACCTGAAACTAATATAACACTGTATGTTAACTATACTTGAATAAAACACACATACACCCACACACAAAAGAAACCTATTCTCACGGTGTTTACATAGGTCTGATGTGTAATTTATAAGTGAAACTTACTCTGCAGTGTTGAATAATTCTTTTTGGAAGACCTAAGAACTCTCTTATGTCCAAGAAGGATTGTTTATGTTCATTCTGGGCAACGACACAATTTATTCATAATCCCCAGACAGCATAACTATTTTTCCCACAGCTGGAATGAGAGCTTCTACTGAATTACAGACTTTACGCTTCTCAATCCATGAATTTAGCTCTCTGTAATCTTGTAACACAGGACCAATGGCAAAGAACCTAGCATAGCTTTTACCAGCACCGTGTCTTTTTCTCATGTTAGAAATACTTGTCTTCTAATCTCATCTGATCTAAGTTCCTGGGAATTCTCCTTTCAATTAAGTCCTGACACTGTGCCTACAAGCTTGTTTTTCTTTGTTGGTTACTTACCCAGGCGGTCAGAGTGGCTGGGACAAGGCTCTGGAGCCAGACAGACCTGGGTCTGAGGTCTGCCTTTAATACTTATTGGCTGTGAGGTGTTGGACAAGATATTTAACCCCTTAGAGACTCAGTTTCCCCATCCATAAAATGGGAACAGTTAAGAGTAACAACCTCCTCATTTCGTTTCATGATTGAGGCACTGGTTAGAAAGCATAACACCGGCACATACGAGAACTCAATAAACGCCAGTTACCATCACACTCCTATAAGTTACTGACCGCACATTCCACTCCAAGTGGGGACAGAGAAGGTTGCCACCATCTGGTCTGGATTAGGCAAGCACCCTTCTCCTTGCCCCCGCCAGTGATGCAACTCCTAGAGTCCACACTTGGCACTATTTCATCTGGCCTGGAGGAAAAGTGGAATGAACCGAGGACGGTGAGGACAGAAGATTATCAGGAAGATGCAGCTCCCTTCACCCCAGCACTTGGTCTGTAGTCGGTGCTGCAAGGATATTAGGTCACTGTGTCAATCCGAGGTGGGGCTTCCAGTGTGAAGAGAAAAGACGTTACACATGGGGCTGTCTGTCCATTTGAGGAGCTGCCCCCTCCGGATGCTGCTTGGTTTCTGGCTTTCTCACTCTCACACGTCCTCCCGGTGGGGGGGGGGGGGGGTGTCCCTGCCCTCCCTGAAAGCCACATGAGGGGATCTCTGGTGATCGGCTGACACCGAGGGGACTTAGGCCAGTGATGCTGCTGCAGGTTTTGGGGTAACAGGCTCTCGTGGAGTCAGGCCTGTAGATCCTCTTTGCACTACCAGAGGGGTAGGACCTCAAGGGTTAAGATCAAGTGCCAGGGGAAGGGGGACAATGGGGCTGCCCAACATGCAGATAAAGGCCTAAGGCTAGAGGGGCTGAAGCACTGTTTCTGCACGTCACTCCATCCTGATGCTCTAACTAACTCTCGGTGCTACAACACTCATTCAGCTTGTGTGCAAATTCTGACTGATTAGTAAGCTCCACATTAAGAAGAAAGATGGGGCCCGGGTCTAGCCTTAGAGGGAAAGAATACACGATTGGAAAGCCACTCATTTTGTCTCTTATTCACTTGGACACCAGTGTTTCTTATGTGTTTGAAGTCTTTACAGAATTTTTTCTGAGAGGGGAAGCCTCGGGTCTCAATCGGTTAAGTGACTGACATTGGCTCAGGTCATGATCTCATGGTTTATGAGTTTGAGCCCTGCATCAGGTTGTGTGTGGCGTTTCAGGCTCGTGATTTGATTCTGTGTCTTCCTCTCTCTCTGACCCTCCCCTGCTCATGCTCTGTCTCTCTCTGTAGGTTAGCTTATCTAATGGTACCATGACCTCCCAGATCATTCTTATGGTGGATCTCAGTGTTGAATTACACAAATAATCAAAAGGCAGATCATCAACATGGACTTTTGTGTGTGTGTGTATGCTTACACCTGCATTTACACACACACACACACACACACACACACACACACACACACACACACACACCCCTCCATACATATTAGATGATGGATTCTCCCAACCATGGCCTCAGTGGACTTACTTGTTGGAGAAGCTGCTTTGCTTTGGTGCCTCCACTTATGGAGAAAACAGTAAAGGGCTCTGGACCTGGGACCCCATGCACCGTGACTCTGTGAGCCTGCAAACATTTTCTTTCTTCTGAATTAAACATCTGTCAAGGAAGACCACATGGTTTCTCATTCATTCTCATTCTCATGTTATTTCTAGGCTATATTCAGTACACAAGTACTAGTTCTTAGAAGTCTGTAGAGGGACATGTAAATGCAAAAGAAGACCATTCTTTTACAACCTGATACTTCTGTTTGTCGCTGAAGAGGCGATGGTGCATCTTCCTTAACAGTCTAGTGAGGATATTAGCAGCATACCACCAAAATACTAATTTATTTAAAATTTATTTATTTAAAATAAATGGAAAGTGACTCTTTCCATCATAATTAGGAGATTGGTATTATCTGAAGTGTATGTTAGTCCTTACTTATGAACTGACCTTCAACAGTGTCTATTGAGTTCCCTCTCTTCTCAGGGCCTTGGGTTAGAATTTTGGTTGGTAAGATGATAGACTATTCCAGGCTTAGAGCACTCTCTGCCCAGGCACACAGATAAGTATAATATGAAAAGTATTTCTGTTTTAGGAAGAGCTGGGGAGGTATGTAACTCACAACTTTTGAGCATTTTGTATATTAAGATATATTCATTCACTCAAAATACAAAATTCATTTATGGAGAGTTGATAGTGAATTGGACACTATGTCTGGCCCTGGGACATTATCCTAGGAAGAGGACCTTATCCCTACCCTCAAGGGCACCCAGTGGAATGAATCAGAAAAGAAAATGGACAATTGTCAGCAGTATGCTAAGTTCCTTGGGAACCCAGAGGAGGGGGCAGATCCCAGGTTTGGAGGAAAGCAGAGAGCACCTCCTGAAAATGGTATCATCTGAACTAAATCTTGAAGGTCCAGTGTGACTTAGAAGATGGAGAGTGGGACAAGAACACCCCAAATATTGATGCAGCCTGTGTGCAAAGGCTTGGAGGTGGCCTGAAGCAGGGGATTCTGGGAGCCTCCACAAGCTCCGTGACTGGGGTGTGGAGGGGTTTGCTGGAGAAGCCAGCAGGTGCACAATCATGCAGGCCTCTTCCTAACTGGCCGGAAGAGCTACACTGAGAGCGGAATAGTGACCCGAGGCCCTAAGTGTTTCATTGAACTTGTACTTTATTTTTATTTGGGGAAGGAGTTGGCTGTTTTATTTTGCTTGCACACTGTGTTTCTATTATTTAATGCATCTTATTGAGATATGATTTGTATACCATAAAATGCACATTTCAATTATATGGTTTAGCCTGCACTGTATTTTTTTGGAAGCTGAAATCACTGCCAACAGTTATGCAAGTCCAGATGTCCTGACTCTCTTGGAAACCAGAAGATCAGGCCACACTGCATGGCAACCAGCAGCTGGGGCTGACAGCAGGGTGGTGGCTGCCCCTTTAAATGACTCATAAGCTCACTGTTTTCCCAGAGTCTCTGCCCAGTCCATGTATAAATTTTACTCTGAAAGCAGTGGAGAACCAAGGAAGGGTTTCTAACACAGGAGTGACATGATCAGATTTAGGTTTTAGTTAGATGTGGCTAAGCAGACAGATGGAGGGGTTCAAGCTCAGAGGGAGAGTCCAGTTAGAAACTCACTGCCATGAGCCAGGTGCGAATGGATGAGGGTCAAAGCAGTAGTGATGGACAGAGATGAATGGATTTGAAAACCACTAAGGAGATAGACTTATCAAGTCTTAAATGGGGCAGTGAGAGGGAGGGAGAAGTCCAGGATGATCTTCTGTTATTGGCTTGAGCAATGGAGGGTGATGACTTCAGTGGTCAAAGAACACATACGTGTTGCTGCTGCCTGGGACCCAGGGATGGCCTGGTGTGGTACAATAAAAAATAAATATTTGGTCTTTGTTCACAGTCGCTGGCACGCATCTCCCTTGGAACCTCTGCAGCGATGAGTGTTCCCTGCATGTTATGAGATGGCCGATGGCTGGAGGCCCCTAGACAGCTTCAGGATGGGAGGTGCTCACTGGAAAGACCGAGGTGGGATCAGATGGTGGGAACTTTCAGCACCACCTGGGGCTTCCAGGGAGGGGGACGTTACCAAGAGTTGAGTCACTCACCAATGGGCTATGACATACTCAATCATGCCTTTTCAATAAAGCTCCATTAAAACCGCTAAAAGGTGGGGTTCTGAGAGCTTCTGTGTTGGTGAACACATTGAGATGCCGGAGGCCTCACACCCCCTTTGCCCTATATTTTTCTTCCATCGGACTTCTCTTGCATTGTGTCCTTATAATAAACTGGTAACAGTAAAGCACGTTTCTGAGTTCTCCGAGTCATTCTACAAAATTCCTGAGTCTGAGGAGGGGTTTGTGGAAACCTCCTGAATTTATAGCTGGTCAGTCAGAAGTACCAGTGACAACCTGGGACTTGCCACTGACACCTGAAGTGGGGACAGTCCCATAGGACTGAGCCCTTAACTCTGGGACCTGATGCTAACTCCAGGTAGACCCTGTCAGAATTAAATTGAAAGGCAGGACACCCAGCTGCTGTCAGAGTTGAAGCAGTGTAAGAAAATACACAATGCATTTGGTGTCAGAAGTGTTGTGAGGAAAAATGGTTCATTGATGGCATGTGTGGAATCTTCAGTGCTAATAAGTATCGAGGCAAACTGAGCCAGAATCAGGCACTAGGCTCTGCTTCCCCTTTGTGAAAGCTGATTCTTGCCCTTCCATACCTAGGCAGCCCTGTCTCTGCTTCCTAGTCCTCTGCACAAGTAGAGGCAACACCTTTCTCTACCTTGGCCAAGTGTTGTTCTCAACTTTGGCCACACACTGAAGGGAAAAGGAGGAGAACCTAAGAAAATGAGGTCAGGATGGAGAGAGAGACGACACCGATGAGGTGAGGGGAAGAACAGCAGAGAAGAAAGTTGGGTGAATTATGGGTGGCCATGGCAGTGGTTGAGCCAGTGCCATTTGTGAGCATACGGGGTGCCTTTTCACAGATTGTTAGCACTATGTTGAAGTATAAGATTGACACAACAGTGAACAGGTTATATTAAACATGTAAAGAGGTAATCAATGGACACCCTTCTATTGTTATTATTATTAAACAATTTTTTTTAATGTTTATTTTTTGAGAGAGAGAGAGTGAGCATGAGCGGGGGAGGGGCAGAGAGAGAGGGAGACACAGAATCCAAACCAGACTCCAGGCTCTGAGCTGTCAGCACATAGCCCAATGCGGGGCCCAAACCCATGAACTGTGAGATCATGACCCTAGCTCAAGTTGGACGCTCAACTGACTGAGCCACCCAGGCGCCCCTGTTACTAGTATTTTTTAAAGTTTATTTATTTATTTTGAGGGGGGAGGGGCAGATAAAGAGAGGGAGAGGGAGAATCCCAAGCAGGCTTCGTGCTGTCAGTGCAGAGCCTGATGTGAGGCTCAAACTCATGAACTGTGAGATCATGACCTGAGCTGAAACCAAGAGTTGGAAGCTTAACCTACTGAGCCACCCAGATGCCCCTCATTTTAAGTTAATTTATAAACATCAAATAATGGAATCAACCAGTTAATTAAAGCAGTGGTACTTGTTTAAATAAACAACCTTGCATTACTGGGGTGGGTACTGGCCCAGTGGTCCTCAAACTTCAATGGTATGGACCTTACCTAGGGAACTTGTTAAGAGACAGATTCTGTAATAGTGACCCTTTCTGTGGCGTTCCTTTCCCATTTCCAAGAGGGCCAATTCTGCATCTCCCCAACCTTTGCTTAATTAGTCTTTTCCCCATGTTATTATTTTGGGTTCATTTCCCTGGCAGGCCTATAATGCACTCATTAAGAGTGTGGGCTTTGGGGGCACCTGGGTGGCCAGTCAGTTGAGCATCCGACTTCAGCTCAGGTCATGATCTCATGGCTCGTGAGTTTGAGCCCCACATCAGGCTCGCTGCTGTCAGCGTGGAGCCTGCTTTGGATCCTCTGTCCCCCTCTCTCTCTGCCTCTCCCTGGCTTGCACTCTGTCCCTCAAAAATAATAAAGTAAACATTAAAAAAAAAAAAAAGAGTATGGGCTTTGGCACTACAGTAACGGGTTTATAGCTGTGTGACCTAGATATACTTAGCTCTGACCTTCCTCATCTGTATGGAATGGAGAGGATACCGTAGCTATTTCACAAAGTTACTGACAGGATTAACTGAATTAGTATAGTTGTAAAGTGCTTAGAAAGTGTCAAGTGCCAGCCATTACTGTTGTTGTCATTATTTCCATTGCTACCTAATTAATAACTCTAACTGACCAGGTTCCTGTGCCACAAGAAAGCCTATCTATCCCCAACGTAGCGATCCCTGCAAATATGCTGAGTGAAACAGAACTTAGTTACCAAAGAGGCCGGCGTGGTGCTGCTGGAGGAATTTTCTTCCATCCTCCTACTGTTTATGAATAAACTAGAGATTTCCAAGACTTCGTTGTGGAGATTTCGCAGCTGAAGATGTCGATATCCTGGAATAATGCAGAATTGGGGAAAGCTTGTTAGCCATGCACTGCAGAGCTCTGCAAAGAAGGTAACCCAGGGAGGTCAATAAAGGGTAGGCGGAAATCAGGTCTTCCGATGGGCAGGGAGTGGCAGTGGGCATGCAACCAGCAGACAGACACCTTTTCATCGAGACTGCTGCTCCTGGGGACGGTTTTGGGTCACCTTATGGTAACTAACTTGTTCAGGTGCTATTTTTAACTTAGACTCAAGCAGAATATCTTAAACTCAAACAAAATACAGTAGGAAAATCTGATCATTTTGATATCATCTACAGTCACTGTTTTAAAATATTCCCTCTTAGTGACAATGCAGTATTCTAACAATATGGAGTTGGGAAAGTAAGTTATGGCGTGACTGTTTGTACCAATATAACATGGAATAACGTGCAGCCAGTGAAAGTGCTAATGAAGATGCATAGCTACCAACAGAAAAAGTTGCTCACTACAGGGGCACCTGAGTGGCTCAATCGGTTAAGCATCCGACTTCGGCTCAGGTCATGATCTCACGGTCTGTGGATTTGAGTCCTATGTTGGGCTCTGTGCTGACAGCTCAGAGCCTGGAGCCTGCTTTGGATTCTGTGTCCCCCCACTCTCTCTGCCCTCCCCCCTCCAAAATAAATAAACATCAAAAAAAAATTTTTTTAAAAGTTGCTCACTACATACATTAGGAATGAAAACCAATGAGATGCAAGACACTAAGATTAGTAGAAAGCCTATTTACTAAAAATATATATTATGTTATATGTCTATTACATATAATATGTAAATACATGGGCAGAGAAATAAAGCCTACAAAAGAAATATACCAAAAGTGATTATTTTGGAGAGATGGAAAATGGATAATTCAAAAGAAACGTTTTTGCTTCTCTGTGCTTTCTCATAATTCTGTAATAACTGTTAGGAACTGAATGGTGTCCTCTCCAAATTCTCATGTTGAAGCTCTAACTCTCAGTACTTTGGAATGTGCCTGTATCTGAAGATGGGGCTTTTAAAAATTTTATTTATTTATTTATTTTGAGAGAGAGAGAGAGAGAGAAACAGTGTGAGTGGGGGAGGGGCAGGCAGAGAGAGACAGAGAGAATCTCAAGCAGGTTCCTTGCTGTCAGCACAGAGTCCGATTTGGGACTTGATCCCACGACCCTGGGATCATGGTCTGAGGTGAAATCAAGAGTTGGACACTCAACTGATTGAGCCACCCAGGCATCCCTGGAGATGGGTCTTTTAAAGAGGGTTAGGGCCCTCAATGAAGTCATAATGGGTGAGTAGGGTGAGCCCTAAGCCAATATGACCGGTGTCCTTATAAGAAGAGAGAGACACCAGGTGCCTGCACACAGTCTCAGGGACAACCACGTGAGGACACAGCAAGAAGGTGGCTGTCTGCTAGCCAAGGAGAGGGGCCTTGGGAGAAACCAACCCTGCCATCACCTCCATCTCCAGAACTGTGAGAAAATAAATGTCTGCCGTTTAAGCCTCCAGTCTGTGGTGTTTTGTTTCAGCAACCCGAGCTGACTAGGGCAGTGGCCATGTGCTACTTGCACAGTGGAGAAGAAAAACAGGAAGAGAACAAAATGCAGGAGACTGTAATGTGTTCGTGGAAGTCAGAGTTCGGCACTTTGAGTGTGGTGGTGGAAGAAGGCGCTAGCACCTTGGTACTCAAAGTAGACCAGTAGGGTCAGCATCCCTGGGAGCTTGTTAGAAATGCAGACTCTCAAGCCCCCGCACCCTCAGACCTACCGTATCAGAATCTGCATTTCACTACCACGAGTCCCAGGAGACCCTGACACGCATCAGTGTTCGAGGAGCAAGGTGCAGCCATGCCCACTGGACAACAAGCTGAAGTTCCACAAGTGCTTTGGCAAAGCTGAACCACATCAGGTCAACAGCTCTGGCCTTTACTCAGGATTCTCCATCTGCCCTGCTCTGCCCCCAACACCCACCTCCAGCTTCCAACCCTGGACGTGCCATGAGAGCATCCCAGCCCTCCTTCTCTCAGGCTCCTTTCTTTCTTTTCCCTTTTTTTTTTTTATTAAAAAAATTTTTTTTAAGTTTATTTATTTTGAGAGAGAGAGAGAGAGAGAGAGAGAGAGAATATTCCAAGCAGGCTCTGCACTGTCAGCATGGAAACCAACGTGAGGCTCGAACCCACAAACAGTGAGCCAAAATCAACCAACTTAACCAACTGAGAACCCAGGTGCTTCACTTTTAAATTTTTTAAAAGTAAGCTCTACATCCAATGTGGGGTTTGAACTCAAGATCCTGAGATCAAGAGTCACATGCTGAGCCAGTCACTGACTGAGCCAGCTAGGCAGCACCTCCGAACCCCGGGCCCCTCTCCTAACGTCAGTCCTTGCTTTAAACACACCAGGGGTGCAGCGGCTGCTACTAGGAAGGGGTGTGCAGGAATAGGAGCACAGCCACTCCTCCCCACACCAGCAGAGGGAGAGCACACACTCCATGGGATGTTGTCAACACCTCTGATTTTAGGATAATGTAAAAATCTCTTTTGAGATATGATCAAACAGTGTTCAAATCTATCATTTCTTCATGCCTCTTATTATTATTTTTAATGTTTATTTATTTTTGAGAGAGAGAGAGAACAGAGTGCAATGTGGGGGAGGGGTAGAGAGAGATGGAGACAGAATCTGAAGCAGGCTCCAGGTTCTGAGCTGTCAGCACAGAGCCCACTGCGGGGCTTGAACTCATGTATTGTGAGATCGTGACCTGAGCCAGAGCCGGACGCTTAACTGACTGAGCCACCCAGGCGCCCCCTTTATGCCTCTTATTTTAACTTTGTACTATGGAAATTCCAAACACACACACAAGGAGAGAGAAGAACATCATGAACCCCAGGGCATCCATCACTTAGCTATTATAATTATTAGCATTTTGAGAATTTTGTTCTACCTCGTTTTAAAGCCTTGAGTGGGATGATTCTCTGAGCAGTTACAGCTGAGCTGTTGTTTTCCACAACGGCAAAACGAAGAAATACGAGATCTTCAAAGTGAACCCGGAAGAGAAACTGTTCATTCCACATGGGGTTCAGAGTGTTCCGGTGGATGGGCTTTGTGCGGAAATGGCAGCTGTCCAGGGGCATGCCCAGCACGTCGACTTCGATACACGGGCTTCCTGTGCTGCTACTCGGGCACACGTTTTGACCAGAGACAATCTGAGGCAAGGAAAAAAGGATCAAAGTCACTGAAGACACGAAAGAAACAAAGCAACCTCTGTACCTTACTGCTTCCCTCCACCAAGAAAGACAAAGAACATTCTGGAATGGAAGGGGTACATGGTTAACAAAGTTGCTAAAAAGAAAAAACAAGTGATTGTAATCAGGTAATCACATGACTGGAGTCATGTGAAAGCCTATTTTGTCAACAGCATTCACCTGAAGATAACCTTTCAACTGTAAAAATGTTCAAAGATCTTCAAAAACCAAGCCATTAAGATGATTAAGTTTCTCAAGGAGGCAGGAGGAAAGGAGACCGTACACAATCTGAGAAATGGTTACTAACATTCTGTTCAAAACGTTTTAGGTGTATATATTTGATATACCTCAAATCTTTTTCTTCAACAGTTCGTTTTGGACCAAGTCACAGGGAATGTTGTTAAAAATTAATCCATAGCCTTCTGTAAGTAGACGGAATTATACTCGAGTCCAGCTGAAATGGTCAAACAGAAAGGGGCCGCTGCCCTAGTCTTCAGGAGAGAGAAAAACCGTGTGGGAGGTGGAAGGTCTGTGAGTTGGCTCTCCCAGGGCTCTGAGGTGTCATGAGCAGAGGCTGTTTGGCATTCTTTGTTTGCAGCAAGTCAGACCAAATATGATAATGGAGAGGAGAGGTAACTTTCTCCCTTTCTGTCTTTCCTATCACCATCCAGTGGTGGTCTCTCTATCAGCTGAGTGGGAGTGAAAGAACAGGGAATAAGGTTGGGTGATGAGCTACTGGGGCTGAGTTGTTAGGGGCAGCCTGTGGAGTTCTGACAATTAGGTAGTTAAAGGAGTAAAGGAGTAAGGAGAAGCCCAGGAGTGATAAAGGTTAAGCTGTAAGGAGGAAAGATATGTAGTTGCTTCATATATTGATGCCCGTCTGATCTTATGAGAACTTGTCAGAGTGTAAGATGACCTGCTCTAACCAGGAGCTCAACTTTTATGGGATCCATGCACAGTTATGATTCCCGGGGCCTGGAGGACAGAATTTCTATCATCAGTTTGCAGGTGAAGCAGGGACCTCATAACTCCACCTACTGACTCTGGCAAATAGAGGGCCTGCTGACAGCATATATAAACCATAGCCACTGCTTCCTGAGAGGATGAAAAAATGCTTGGGGAACTAAATCTGCATGAACAAAATGGTGATACGAGACCTTTGTAATGCCTTGAATTCAAAACCAGTTCATATTCATGAAGGCTTACAGACCTTACTAGATTCTGACAACTGGTGCCATACTTACAGTTAAGGAGTAGATGGCAGGCTCCATGTTGTCCAGATCTCTTTCTAAGGGAGAGAACTTCTGATACATGGGACAGTTCTTGTCCCACAGAACTGGGGGTTTCAAAACATAACCACACCCACCGTTGGCTTCAAACATGGCAGCATTTAAATGTAAAGGGAGATCTGCAAAATAAAGTCAATATTGTTTGGCTCATGTGTCATCCTATACATTTACTTTAAAGTTCAAAAGAAATCTGCATCAATTTCCCCTAAGCTGAAGTATGAAGAAGAGATAGCCATCCATTCATTGCATAGACTGACTGAGTACCTACTCTGTGCCAGGTAGTGTTATGCACCCAGGATATAGCTGCTAACAAGACTTGAAATCTGTTTTCATGGAGCTCATGCTCCATCCTGTGTTCTGCCACCTAAAAACTCTTATAAATAAAAATTCACAACATCCATCCAGAAAAATCTTTGAACACCTCATTTTATACTGAACTTTAGAAAAAAAAAGGATTGTCTTATCCCCAATGCTAAGCCATGCAGACAATTGTGTGAACAAATCTTGCTTTTTCAAATATAAGATAAAATCTTAATAATACAAGAAAGGCTAGGAGAATAGCCAGAAAAACATAACCTTGTCTTTGAATTTCTATTTCAACCCATAAATTGCTATGCTTCTACCTCTTTTTTTTAAAACAATTTTTTATATTTATTTATTTTTGAGAGACAGAGAAACAGCACGAGTTGGGGAGGGGCAGAGAGAGAGACACGGAATCCCAAGCAGGCTCCAGGCTCTGAACTGTCAGCACAGAGCCCAATGTAGGGTTCGAACTATGAACCATGAGATCATGACCTGAGCTGAAGTCAGATGCTTACCTGACTGAGCCACCCACGTGCCCCTCTACCTCTTTTTTAAAAATGGTGGTTCAATAGGAAACAAACCATTATCACATGTGATTCACATCATATCCACAGTCTCCTCAATCACAAGTGCTGGGAACTTTTACAACAGTCTTTTGTGGCCAAAATTTATTTGGTACAGGTCTTTGGTGAACGATCGGATCCCTGCACACTCAAATGCTCATCTGATGGCACAAGTCTGCATAAAAGTTGCCCAAATGAGCAAAAAGTTTATGAGACACACCTGACAAATGTTCCTTCTGCTAGATTCCTCCCATGTGCAGAGTGAACTTTGCTACATGGACCAACATCAAGGAAAAGTGTGGTAAGCACCGTGGAGTGATAAGAAGTTGGCCTTTACTGGTGTGGGGGGGAGCTGGCTAGGGTCATGCACAGGAATTCTGGGGGGAAGATGTCTTAGACACATGAGAGCTCCTGGGGCCTCAGCCTGCTTATCTACAAAATTAGCACACTGGACCCCTCCTCTCAGGCCCATCCAGTCCCCATGTGATTAATTCACTGAGGCTACAGAGGGAAGCAAACTAGCCCACGCAGTTGGTAAATGTGAAATGGATAAATATGACTAACAAAATTAGAGCAGCTCACACTGCACCCTTCCCATGCACTAGCACCTGTTCTAAGCACTTTGGGTGCACCAGTGCCTCCATAACCCATGAGGTGGCTTATTGCCTTATTTTAGTATTTTCATTTTTAGAGATGAGGAAACTGAGGCATAAGATACGACAAAACCCCAGGCACATGGCTAGAAAGTGGTGAATGCTAGTGTTCAAACTCAGCCTGACCCATCTTAACTACCAAACCGCATAATGTATATTATCTTAACTACCCAGTCTTAACTGCTGGAGCCATATAACGTATACCTCATGGGGGTGTCATAAAGATAAATGAGACAAGGGGCACCTGGGTGGCTCAGATGGTTAAGTGTCCAACTTCGGCTCCGGTCATGATCTAGTGGTTCATGAGTTTGAGCCCCGCGTTGGGCTCTGTGCTGATAGCTCAGAGCCTGGAGCCTGTTTGGGATTCTGTGTCTCCCTTGCTATCTGCCCCTCCCCCACTCGTACTCTCCCTCTCTCTCAAAAATAAATAAAACATTAAACAAATTTTTTTTCAATGAGATAATGTGTAAAGGTCCCTACCCCAGCATCTGGCACATAGAAGGTGCTCAATAAATTAAAATATTAAATTATATCATGATGTCGACACCCATTTGGGTTTGAAGTCTGATTCCATTAGCAATGTGTCCATCCTTGCAGCTTTTCAAAACTTGTATTCTCCTTTTTGTTTTGTTTTAAGTAGGCTCCACACCCAACGTGGGGCTCACACTCACAACCCCAAGATCAAGTCACACACCGACTGAGCCAGCCAGGCAGCCTGCTTTCCCAAACTTTAAAGCACTTTTTCTTCACTAAAATCTCACTTGGCGATCCCATATGTAAAACAGATCCGAGTGGAGCTGCTTTGTTAGGATAAAGGCGGGGCCTCCAATCTAGTTCTCCCACTGCCCCCTAGGGCTGGTCTCAGAACTTCATCTAGAGCTGTAATTTTAAAAACTCCTGTATCCATTAAGTGAAACAGTGTGCCTGAATCTGTGTACCCCCATCATCCCTCTCAGTCAATGAGGGTGATGGCATTGATGTGGGAGAGAGGAAAAGCCTGCAGGGGTGAGTGGAGGCCCACCAGCAGCCTCAGTGTGTGTTTCAGAGCACGAGGTGGGTCAAGGAGGGGCAATTCCCGGGTCCCCCTCAGCCACGGCTCCCTTTGCCATCAGTGGAGCCAGGATGTCTGCGGCAGCCTTGGCGCTTCAGGAAGAAGGACACATCCCAAACCAAATGCGTTTTCATTTCCTTGAGAAAACCACTTTGCTAGTTATTTCAGTTGACTTAAATATTTCAGTGTTATAACAACCGAGGGGACCAGTGGACACAGGGCTAAGGACAGGGCCAGAGATGTGAACCCACAAGCCACTTGGGACAGATCGAAGAGAAATTTTTACAACTCTGAAGATATTTCATTATTATTTCCACTTGTGAGTCCAAATCATACTGTTTTCATAACTTATCAAAAAACACTTATGATGGTTAATGTTCGTGGAATGTTTTCTACGTGCCAAGCACTGTGTTTGGTATGGTACTTCACTTAATGCCGACTTACTTAATATCAATTGAAAGAAACAAATACTAAAGGGCACAAAAATATGACTGATGTCTCTGACCATACATCTGCGGGGTCAGCCACAAGTAGACACTGTTGGCACCTGTGCAAGGTTGCTAGGTGGTCCCAGGGCGAAGGCTGGGGTTTAACCTTGGCTGAAGACAGGGCTATGCTTTGGTTGATGGGTCAGCACAGCTAGCTGGGATCTGATTCAGCGCTCGTGAGGGGAACGAGAATGTTGCTTGACTATTCGAAGGAGAGACTGGTTTTCCAGTGAGCTTCTAGGAAACATTCTTCCTCTATTTTTTCTTCGTCTTCTGCAGCTCCCTTCTTTCCCCCATAACCAAGTGGAGACAAAACACTTTACCCTCTGAACTCCCAGAGTCCTTGTATCTATTATTATTAGTCATTCTGTAACCTTGAGCAAAGTAACTGCTCTGTGCCTTGGTTTGCTCATCTGAGAAATGGACATCATAAAAGGACCCCCCCCCCTTTTAGGGTTGTGGCAGGGATTAAATGAGAGAACAGGGGTCAAGAATGCAGCGCGGTGCCTGGTACACAGTGAGCATGCCATAAACGGCAGCTGCTACCTGGAGTTTACTCCTCAGTTACTCTGTTAGGAGTCCCATCCACAGTGGAGAAACACACACACTATGATCTCTGTTCAGGTGGTTCACGTACTTGTTTTCCCCGTGGTAGCCACGCCTAGGGCACTGAACATTATTTATTTCAGTCTCAAAGGGAAGAGAAGAAGCTAAAATGCTTCTAACTTGCAAAGTGTTTGGAGCAACACTACTTTTTGACTGCAAGAACAAGAGCTTAGCAAGAGAACTTACTAAGGCATGTTAGGAAATCTCTGCCCCCAAACACCTTTAAAAGCAAACTGGACAGAGTGCTGTCAAAAGGAGTCATAAGTTTAAAAAGTACTTTAAAAAGGCAGCAGGGGGGGCACCTGGGTGGCTCAGACAGTTAAGCGTCCAGCTCTGGGTTTTGGCTCAGGTCATGATCTCAGGGTTTCATGAGTTCGAGCCCCATGTCAGGCTCTGCAATGATAGTGTGGAGCCTCCTTGGGATTCTCTCTCTTCCTCTCTCTCTGCCCCTCCCCGACTCATGCTGTCTCTGACTCTCTCAAAATAAATAAACTTAAAAAAATTGAAAACAAGAAGGAGGCAGGAACAGAAGACCTTTAGGGGGTCCCCTCATGGTCTTTATTGTCTTTTTTTTGAGAGAGAGAGAGAGAGAGAGAATGAATGGGAGAGGGGCAGAGAGGAAGGGGAGAGAGAATCCCAAGCAGGCTCCACGCTGTCAGTGCAGGGCCTGACTCAGGACTTGAACTCACAAACTGTGAGATCATGACCAGAGCTGAAATCAAGGGTCAGACACTTAACCGACTCAGCCACCTGGGAGCCCCTTTTATCTATCGTCTTAATCGAAACATCAAGGGCACAATTCCATATCAAATTCACTTCTGTTTTTGGTCATCTGTACTTTAACCCTCACATCCGGTGTGCCCCAGTCTGGAGTCCTGCCCCTTCAAACAATCTTGTTTGCTGAACTATATTTACTGAAATATAAGAGGCAGAGGAGAGAGGTGGGGAGGCACCCTTCCGGGTGAAGCGGGCCCATTACCATCTGTCTGGTAGTTGAGCGCCACGAGCTGTATCCCATGGAGCCAGAACATGAGGGGATTGGGGTTGGAGGAGTCGATGCGAGTGGCAGCCGGGTAAGTCCTCAGCAGCTGACAGGCGGTGTGCTGGATCAGTTTCTGAGAATACCTGCGACACAGACGTTTGGCGGCATTTTCATTCAGCGAGGAGATATGGTAACATTTGGGAGTTCTAATGATAGCGCTGAGGGATGTGGTTGGGTTGAGGGGGGAAGAAGATTCCTCCCAGGCCTGTCGCATTCCTTCACAGGAACCTAAACCCCCCAAAAGATTAGCCTCAGATTAGTGCAGAAAACTTTAAATATTTTAGAAAGATAAAACCTGAACAACATCCCCGTGGGCAATCATAACACATAATACATCGGAGTACATCTTGCCTTTTCCTCGTGAGTTAGTCTACAACCTTGAAACAAAATGAGAGCTATTGAGTTTTAAGATGACTGTGGCCACACCAATTTAAATCAAAAGCCTGAAAGTCCTTGCCTATGTACCTCATGTATTCTGTGGATACATTTGCACAAAGGCACAATGTATGCCCAAGGGTGTTCACTCTAGCGTTGTTTTGTTTTGTTTTGTTTTTAAATAACAAAACAAAACCCCAAAACTCCAAAACCACCACCATCACCACCACCACCACAATCCAGGAAGCAACCTAAATGTTCTACCAGTGAGGTAGTGATTAAATAAATGACAATATATCCACACAATGGAATAATACCACAGAGGCACTAAGGACAATAAGGCAGACAAATGTATAGAAAGCCATGAGGAAAGTTACAGCAAGTATAGAGGTTATACAAGTCTCCCTGATTTTAAACTCTACTACAAAGTATAGTAATCAAAACAATATGGTACTGGCATAAAAATAGACACATAGATCAATGGAACAGAATAGAGAGCCCAGAAATAAGCCCACATATATATGGCCCTTTAATTTATGACAAAGGAGCCAAGAATACACAATAGGGAAAGGATCATCTCTTCAATAAATGGTGTTGGGAAAACTGGATGGCCACATGCAAAAGAACGAAACTAGACCACTGTCTTACACCATACACAAAGAATTAACTTGAGATAGATTAAAGACTTGAATGTAAGACCTGAAAATACACAACTCTTAAAAGAAAACCAAGGCAGTGAGCTTCCTGACGTTAGTCCTGCGTGGCCTTGAATTCCTGGGTCTGACTCCAACATTAAAGGCAACAAAAGGAGAAGTAAACAAGTGGGACTACATCAAACTGAAGTGCTTCTGCATAGCAAAGGAAGCCATCAATAAAAAGAAAAGGCAACCTACTGAATAGGAGGAAATATTTGCAAATCTTTTATCCAAATATCTAAATGTGTTATATCTAAAGTGTATATAGAACTCAAATAACTCAAAAGCTAAACAACCAATTTCATTAACAAATGGGCAGAAGATTGAAGAAGACATTTTTCCAAAGAAGATCTATAGATGGCCAACAAGCACATGAGATGAACGATGTCAGTAATCACCACGGAAATGCAACCCAAACCACAGCGAGATACCACTTCACGCCTGTCAGAAAGGCTAGTATCAAAAAGACAAGAAATAACAGCAGTGGGAGAGTAAACAGTGGAGAAAGGGAACACTCGTGCACTGTTAGTGGGAGAAAGCTGGTGCAGCCACTGTGGACAACAGTACGGAACTTCCTCAAAAAATTAAAGATAGAAATACCATATGATCCAGCTATACTGTTTCTGGGTATTTATCTGAAGAAAATAAAAACATTAATTCAAAAGGATATATGTACCCCAGTGTTCACTGCACCATTATTTACAATAGCCAAGATACAGAAACAACCTAAATGTCCAGTCCATTGAAGGATGAAGGATGAATGGATAAGGAAAACATTATATATATACATATATACACATATGTGTATATATACACACATATGTATGTATATGTATATATACACATGCATGTATATGTATATATACACACATATACACATATGTATATACACACAATATGTACACACATGTGTATATATGTACACATATGTGTATATATACATATACACACGTGTGTATATATACATATACATGCATATGTGTATGTATATATACACATATACATATGTGTATATATACACGTATATATATACATATATACGTATATGTATGTATACATATACGTATATATACATGTGTGTGTGTGTGTGTGTGTGTGTGTGTGTGTGTGTGTGTGTGTATATATATCATGGAATACTACTCAGCCATAAAAATTAAGGAAATCCTGCCATTTGTAACAACATGGATGGATTTTGAAGGTATGATAATACTTACTGAAATAAGAGAGAGAAAGACAAATACCACATGATTTCACTTACATGTGGAATATAACAAAACAAAACAAACACATAAAACAAAGCAAAGTTCCCAGATACAGAGAACTGATTGGTAGTTATCAGAGGGGAAGGGGGTTGGGGGGCAGTGAAATGGGTGAATGGGGTTAAGCATACAGTGATGGATGATAACTAGATTTATTGTTAGGATCACTTTGTCGTGTATATTAAAGATCAAATTACTATGTTGTACACCTGAAACTAATATAACGTTATATACAAATTTTACCTAGAGAAAAAAATAGTTATCCAACTATGTTCAGTTATATCCGTTTGGATTATCTTAAAAAGAATCTTATTTTTCTTAAACAAAACACAATAAACTTAACAGTGATTACCTCTGGGGAGGAGAACTGGGACACTGAGAGTGGAAAGGAATTTTAATAATACTCCGAACTGTTTGAGTTTTTAACTATGAGAATTTATTACTTTCATAGTAAAAAGTAATTAGAAATAAAATGGATATATCTTCTGGAGTTATAAGGATGAAGAGCACAGTTCCAAGAACAGCTAGAATGTTCCAAGGTGGCTCCAATTTTTACTTTTGAGGCAAACACTGTTAGAACGTCTTTAGTGAAACGTTATTTTTTAGGAAGTTAAGAGTGTAAATTCGTAATTTAAATATATTGGTACCACACTTAACCTAACACTTCACATAAACATTCATGAAAAAAAAAATTAAAAGTTCAGGGGAAGTGCTTAGACGGTCAAATATCAGAATCATCCGGCATGCAGAATCAGGCCAAAGTATTACAAGAAGGTGACTTTACTTTTTCCAGATGCTTTGTTAAACGATGCTGTCTCCCCAGGGCTCATTCTGCCCGGATTGTTGCCAAAAATGGACTTCCTGCTTTTCCTTTCTTTTCCTCTGCTAGAGCCAGATGCATTTAGAGTTGACAGGCCTGTTCCCATAAAATGAAAATAAATAAGCCAAAAACTACAAGCAAGGAACTCGACATTTTCCATCCCTGTTACTGTTTATTTTGAAGTCCTACTACTCCCTGGCAGCCCCAGGACAGAAGACCTACTAGCATTTTTAGCACAGTTAATAAGAACGGGGAATGATAGCAAAGCTTTTCTCTCTGTAGACAAATGTGACCAGAACTGCATGATCATCACAAAATCACATACACAGACCCACTTGGATGTGCACCAGAAAGATTCTGAAAAGCTACATGAAAAGAAAGCACTCCAGTCAACATTTCTCAGAACCTGATTACTCAACTTGGAGAGATGAAAGACCGGTTAAAAGCTGGAGCTTCAGCGGCACATTGTCTAGGTTCAATTCTTGCCAGTATGAGGTTGCCTTAACATCTACCTTCTCCATTCCTCAGTTTCCTTACCTACAAAATGGGTGTGATAGGAGCTCGCTCCCAGGGTTAATCTGAAGGTCTGATGGGAAATACATTAGGATGATGATGATGTTTCCTGGCTTCTCTTTCTCACTCCCAGCCCTACTGTTGCCTGACCCTTCCTGCCTGGCACAGTGCCTGGTGTGCGGCAGGAACTTAATAGATATTTGCTGAATGAGAGAATGAATGCACACCGTGCTCCAGTGCAGGAAGAGTCATTTAAAAGCTCCAATGAAGCCAGAGTCGCCTCCAAACCATTCCACTGTGTACAACTGTACCGTTAGAAAGTAATTCCTTCAGCTGAAGCAGCATTCAGGAGGACCTCTTTGAGATGAAAATATACCTTCCAGGAACATCATCAGAGGAAACAGGGTAAGGTAGTGCTTAAGAATAGCACAGACTGGGGTGCCTGGGTGGCTCAGTCGGTTAAGCATCCGACTTCGACTCAGGTCACGATATCGCGGTCCATGAGTTTGAGCCCCGCCTTGGGCTGTGGGCTGACAGCTCAGAGCCTGGAGCCTGCTTCGGATTCTGTGTCTCCCTCTCTCTCTGCCCCTCCCCCGTTCATGCTCTGTCTCTCTCTGTCTCAAAAATAAACATTAA